TTAACCAACAAAAGCAGATATGAAATTCAGCTTTTTGGCTGTCAGATATTTGGGTTAGCCACATAGACTAGGATAGTTGGCACGATCAATATGATCTTTGAAATCTAGCCAGGGAAGTTGGGGGTGGGGGGGAGGATCAGAAGTTTCAGTTTTCGTTTCTTTGCCTTAAAGATTTGAAAGAGTTGTGCAGTAGAAAGCAGCGTGGAAAACTTTAGGTTATCGTTTACTCTAGCAGCATTGATCAGAGGGCTATGACAGCTATAACAGATACGGTAACCGTTGTCTACGATGGGCGGTGACCTGTTCGGAAATGGGGTGGAGGTGGGGTGGGTGTGGCATGTTTGTTTGTTTAAAAAAAAACAGGACCGGGAAGAATAAATTAGGTAATTTATGGGTAGGGGGTAAAATGTGGGGGGGGGGGGGACATATGTCCCCGGGCGCCGACCTTAGGGGGCGACAAAATGGGTTGGAAAAATAAATAGAAAGGTTGAGGGGGGTGCAAATGCAAATCGAAAGTTTGAGGGGGGGGGGGGTGCAAATCAAAATCTCGAGAGGGGGGGGGGGGGTGCAAATCAAAATCTCGAGGGGGGGGGGGTGCAAATCGAAAAGTTTGTCCCCGGGCGCCGGGAAGGGTCGCTACGCCTCTGGAAAGGAGGGTAAGATAAGATGGTGTTAGGTAGAGAAGGGAGGCTATTCCAGCCTACTGTTGTTTGGTGATAAACTAACTTTGGTTTACAGCGGGTCTAGTTAAGCTTGAGGCAGGTGAACAATTCTGTCCCTTCGTAAAGTTATCCTGTCGAACCTGATGGTCATTCGGGGCAGATGAAATAGAGTTCATCTGTTTTTCTTATCACGAATTTGAAGGTATGATGTGATCAGCATTACACCCAAATGCCTTTACTTTCCAGAACGTGAGTCGGGTAGCCGTCAGGGCTGGGTGAACCCAAGGACGTCCAGAGTTTCTTCCAGGCATCTCTTCGGGGGGGGGGGGGGGGGGCTTGGACCCCCGAAAAAATTTTCAGCCCCCCCCCCCCCCCCCCCCCCCAACGAAATGAAATTTATATAATTTATATAGAAAATATATACTTTTAACAGTGTCCACCACCCCCCCCCCCCCCGAAGAAAATCTACCGCCCCCCCCCCCTGGAGAAAAAAGTCTGGAAGAAACACTGAGGACGTCTTACGTCCGAGATCCAAACTTGAGACTTTTGAGTAACCAGTCGAGGCTCTGCTACCCAGCCACGCTGCTGCGTCCTTTCGTGAATCTAGACAAGAAAATGTTATTTAAAAAATCAACTAACCACAAATATCTGGTGGAATTTTTTTTTTATTTCAACACTTGAAAAAATTTTGGTGTTGTAATTTATGAATCTTGCAGCAATGTAGCTAAAAGAGAGAGCTTGATGTTATATACTTCCCTGTAAAATGTAGTTGTCTGAAATATTTTTTGGTGCATGTTAGGTTCAAAGTTCGTGTGGAGTTTATAAGCGTGGTTAGTTATAGAGAAAGGGGTTAAGTGGCTGGTAGGGTGGGGGCAGGGGGTGTAGACTAGATGAGTGGACACGATGAGGGGCTGGGGAATAAATGAGAGTCAGTATACAGGGGCTGGGGAATAAATGAGTCAGGATACAGGGGCTGGGGAATAAATGAGAGTCAGAAAACTGAGGGGCTGGGGAATAAGTCAGGATACGAAGTGGGACTGGACTGTGGCAGTAGAGTAGCGAGGGGGGGGGGGCGGGAAAGGGGGACATATGTCCCCGGGCGCCGACCTTAGGGGGCGCCAAAATATGGGTTGGAGAAATAAATTGAAAGTTTGAGGGGGGTGTGCAAATCGAAAGTTTGAGGGGGGGGTGCAAATCGAAAAGTTTGTCCCCGGGCGCCGGGAAGGGTCGCTACGCCTCTGGACTGTGGTCTCCAGATCCGCGGGTGCCCCATATAGTTTTTTCCTTGAGTGGGGTGTGTAGGGGCCAGTGTTTGGATCGCGCCTGGCGATATAAGGAACAGTCCTGAAGGACGTGCTCTGTATTCTTCGGGGCCATGCCACGTGGGCAAGTTTCGCCAAACTCAATTTTTAGTTTTTTATGCATGTGCTGTTTTAGTCTGTCGGGGCCTGTTCTGAGTCTGAAGACTATGAGTTGTTGTTTTCTTGTCAATTTGTAATATCCGTCGTCTAATATGCAGATGATGGCAGAGGGATTAGAAGAAGTCATTTTATTTTTCCAGCAAAATAAATCTATCCAGGGGTCTTTGAAAATCCTGTTCTCAGGTTATGCTTGGTTCATCTGAGGTTAAAACTTTCTTCTGAGGAGGAACATGTCCTAATACCATATAACAACTGAACACTTTTTTTTTACTATAAGATTCCATAAAGGACACTTTTACAACTCCCTCTGTCTTCACCACGTTAGCTTCTCTCTATGACCTGACATTTCAGCCAACTCCCTATGGTAATATTTTTTATTAAAGCAATTACCTTTTCATTTTAATATATTTAGCAAAATCATCATGTTAATCAAATTTTTAAAATTATAATTTACAACAAAAAATATTTTCATTTCTGAATGATCCCTAAGAGCAATATTTAGAACTTTTTCAGTTTTTATTTATCTTTTAACTCAATTATAATAATACATAGGCAAATTTTTAAATTAAAAAAAAAACAGTGTATAATACATAGGCAAATAACAAAAACTAGTGTTATAAATAACATCACAAGCAGCTATCACTAACAACAACTAGAGCCTACACTCAAATATAACATGAACACAAAAGTAACATTTTCAACCATCATCTTACTAACACATTTAACACAATTGGTATAACTTAACAAGATGGATGAGGAAAGTCAAGGGTTGATAATGTACAAATGGACAGCCGAGGGTTAATATCACAATACAAATTGGAATACAGTTTTTATATACAGCAATGCCTCCAGTTTTTTAATTACAAATCTGTATATTCATGGGAGAGATATATTACATGTGCAACTGTGACTATAATAGGTGTTTCAATAGCACTCAAACATGTGCATCAATAGCACTTAAACTACAGGTGCAGCAATAGCATTCAAACAACATGTGCACCAATAGCATTCAAACCACTGGTGTACCAATAGCACACAAATAAAATGTGCACCAATAGCACTTAAACTACTGGTGTACCAGTAGCACTCAAATGTGTGCACCAATAGCATCAAAATAACTGATGTGCCAATAGCACTTGAACTACTGGTGTACCAAAAGCATACAAACAACTAGTGCACCAATAGCACATGAACAACTGATGTATCAAAACAACTTAAAACAATCAGCAAATCCCTCTCTTGATGTCTAAGGTACCCAGCCAACAGCTGACACTTGTGTGATCAGTGCTGTTTATGACCATTTCATGTTTCTGAGTATTCACAATGTGATAGGGCGTGGACTGCAGTGACTAGAAGAGGGGTTACTCAAGGGTCAGGGCAATAGTCATTGTAAGGGAGGTTATCCTACATTGTAAGGGAGGTTATCCTAACAGTGGCTAGATGATCTGTCATTTGACACAAGATGACAGCAGGCTATGTCAGTAAATTTGGACGGGACAGCAACTGTCAGTGTTACATGTGAATAAGCAGGAAATGGAAGAAAAAAAATACTTTTTAAAAAATTAAAATAATTCTAAATCCTATAGAAATAAAATAAAAATTTCGCTCAAAGCAAAGCAGTATTCAAATGTTTTACATGAATAGGTTCACCTTTTTATCTCCCCAGCTAAAGGGGTTACCCGTAAACCTACAAAGTCAGCTGTGCTATATTCATTTAACAGGTGAATTTCAACAATGTCATATCACATCTTTTTAAGATGCGTTAAGGGGAGGTAATGTTTCGTTATTCTAAGTAGTGGTTCTTTATTGCTGAGAAAAGAAAGTTTTAAAGAAGCTTCAATTAAAAAAAAAACCGACTGAAATTTGGTATTATTTATAGGGTCCTATTGACTCAAGCTTAAAGATAAAATCAGAGACATAAGACATGACTGCATTGTGAATATAACAAACATCCAAAATATTATGGTCCAAATTTAAAGATGCCCACAGCCTTCTGGTACATTGCTGATAAATGTGACCGCAATGGCTGAGAAGAACTTTAGGACTTACAGCTGATCATTTTGACCGTGCAATGTCTGGGCTAACAGCTGATGATTTTTACTGAAATGTCTGAGCTTACAGCCGATCAATGTGACAGCAATGGCTGATAAGAACTTTAGTACTTAAAGCTGACAATTTTTTATTGAAATTTCCTAGCTTACAGTTGATAATTCTGACTGAAATGTCTGAGCTTACAGTTGATAATTCTGACTGAAATGTCTGAGCTTACAGCTGATCAGTGTGACTGTGCAATGTCTGAGAAGAACTGCAGGACGTTGTCAATGGTGAAGTCCAGTGTGATGTTGGAGTCAGGGTAGCACTGCTTCATGAGGTTGTCGTAGTATTTGTACTGGGTGATGAAGAGGTCCTGCATCTCATGCCAGACCACCTGGAAATCCATTCACAAAACTTTTTAAAAAATATTTAATGCAGAATTTGTAATGGACAGCAATTTATCTGGCGTTTACCCATTTCAATTTATTAAACAAAAAAAAATGGGTACTCTGTGAATGCTAACAGAGGTGTAGCAACTGATTCCGGCGCCCAGGGCAGAATATACATTCTTGCGCCCCTCCCTCCCATTATATTTATAGTTATTCCTGTCTTTGAAAAAGCCCCCCCCCCCACCCCCCTACAAAGTAAATAAATTGGAAAGGTTTGTGGAGCTTCTTACCAGTTACTATCCTGATCCCATTAGAATTTCTATTTCGGTGCCACAAAATTGATTTAGTAAACAGTTAAATTAATGTGAAATGCCTTGAAGTCATTTATTTTCGTAACTTTGACCATATATACTTTAATAGTTCAGCATAAAATGAGCTTTTCAATTAATTTTTCTACCACTTTTGGCGCCCACTTAGGGTCGGCGCCCGGGGCGGCCGCCCAACCCGCCCTCTACTAGCTACGACACTGAATGCTAACTGGAATCTTGAGTTCTGCTGGGGACAAAAACCCATCCACGTAAGTCAACAGGCAACATGAGGCGTAATATGTTAACACACAATTATAAATGTGTTGGTGAAAAAAACAATGATAAAGGGCTCCATTGTTTATTCGCTTGATCCCCCCCCCCCCCCAATGTTACATTAAGAACACAAAAGAAAAAAACTTCAACAGTAGAAATTTTTTAATGCTGTTAATCTAAAAATGGAATTTTAGTTTAAAGAAAGGAAATTCCTTGAGTGCTTGTAATATCTATCCAATTATCTTAAGGATATTAAAGATAAAAACCCCTAACAGCCCTAACAGTCCAATTTTTAAAATGTCAAAACCTTTTTCTGAAACTTTTACTTTTTTTGCACCATTTGTTACACTTTTTTTTTAAATTAAAAATTATTTATGCAAATTAAAAAGTAGTCATTGTTAAATTATCATTACTGATTAATGCTTGTCATCTGAATAAATGTTTAGTAATTGTGTAAAATGAACAATTTTTATAATACATGGACTTGTTAAATTTACTACTGGAACCCTTATGTCCATAAAACTGTGAGTCTATAGTTAGATATCAAACTTCAAAATGTGTGTATCTTTCTACAAACCTGAATCAAATTTTCCTCCTCACAAAGCTGTTTTTCAACTTTCTTATTTAAATGTTCTAATGTTTTCTTCACCTGGTTTAATTAGAGAAAACAGGTACAGGAGTTTAACCCAGAGACAACATTCACAATTTTATTTTAATAGTATAGAGATAATAGAGATAAATAATTTTAGTTAATTTCCTATGGCAGAAAGTGAACAAACCAAATCTTCAATACTAAGATCCATTTACAATATAAAATTGTATTAAATATTTGTAAAATTCCCAAAAGATTTAACAGTATTTTTTTTACTTTTTTTTTTTACTTTTTTTATAAGACTCCTGTTTGTTACACATGTTGACCACAAATAAAACATTGTCACACATATACAGGGAGACAAAAAAGTTTGATTTACCTCCTTGCCTGGATACTCTTTGATAACCTTTCTAAGCTCCTGCTTATTAAATGCCAGCTGGTAGCCAACCTCTTCAGGTTTCACACCTGTGGAGATTTTTGACTCCACACCTTCAAAAAATATCTGAAAGGAAATCAATTTTACACAATTGAAAAGTTTATTTCAATAATGGAGACAAGCATGAGTCATAACAAAAGACCGAACCATTAGTGTTATATCAGCTACATCTAAATATATCTAGAGTTGAGAATAACACAAATATCATTGGTTATCAAAATTATACTAGGGCTGCATGACTATTTTCTACTTTATGATGACGATCATACTATGAAAAATATCAATTATTTTGTATTTTTTGTAAACATGAAGGCCATAAACATTTAATAAAATGTGTACATTTTATAATAATCACTTTTAAAGTATGGAATTGTCTTAAAAAAGACTAGCTTCCCTTTAATAAAAACCCTTATAATAAATTATTTCCCCTTAAGACTATAGAATTAATGAGCACAATTACATGAAGTTTCTCTAGGGGTCTGCCTAGCAGATTTACTGTGTAGGCCTGGAGGTTCTCTGTGTATCTTTGTTTAGCTTCCTTGCGATCATTTTCCAAACAAGGATTTTTAAGATGTGACAAGATGGCTGGGAAAAAAATGATTTGATGCAAAGCATTCTCAGTGAAATGTACCTCACAAAAAAAAAAAAGAAAAAACATTTCAGCCCTATCCTAAAAATTTGATCTGCTTAACTAAATATTTCAAATCAGTAAAAATAAAAATGTAAAGATCATAAACCATGTACTTACAAAACATTCTATGAAAATTTTCTGAAACAAAAAAATTAATAATTAATATCTAATTTAATATACAAGTATAAAAACACAAATGTTAGATCCTATAAAACAAACTTAAACATTAGTTAATAGCAATCTGCATTTATCAACATCCCTGATCCTCTTTACAAAACTCTAAATAGTTATATAAAAATATCAACACTGTTTCGCTCATCTCTTACTAAAGTACAACAAACCCCAAACAGAAGAAAAACTGATACACCATTTTAGCAACAGGCAAGGATGTTTCACCCACCCATCAACACCACTTCTTTTGGTGTCTTCTGGTGTTCCTGGGCCACCCGAACAATTTGCTCAAAGATGATACGAACAACTTTTGTGTAGGCTTTATCAAGATCAGCATGGCGGTCTGAACCTTTAAAAATGTTCTCAGCAAGGTTGGTGAATTCCTGATATCATGGGGGAAAAATATTTAATAAAAATACTATCTAATTAGCTCAATAATTGTATCTGTTTAGCTATAATTATACCTACAGAAGCATTCATGTCCCTATAGAAGTGTGAAATACACAGGGTCAAAGTAACCACTTCATCACATTAATAGCTTTTAATGGTTAAATCAAATTTGTAACTGGACATACATTTTTATCCAATCATATTCAAGTACACACTTTTTTCCTAACAGGATAAGATATATAATAAAGTGACGCACAACTGCACTCTTATTTTAATATTGATGCTAGGTAAATTGTCATTGAAAAGTGAGATATGAAGCCGTAAAATCCTTATTAAAAGAATCATGATTTGTACCTATTTTGAAACCTATCATCTAATTGAATCAAACAATACAATTGATAAATCCAGCTAAAATCTACCATCTAATTCAATCATTGCTACAACTGACTAATGCAGTTGATGTTTATTAATTAAATTGGATAAAGCAATAAGTATGAAAAACATTTTGTCTTAACCTCAAAGTTGTGAACAAAGCTAATGATGCCACATCTGCTTTTCTTGGAAACTTTGGTTTCTTTGATATTTGCCATCATTGATTCCTAGAGATTAACATTAACATTTTTATCAATAAAATAAAACACAAAGTCTACATTATTAAGAATTTAAAAACACAAAATTCAATGTACTAAATTATGTTAAAAGAAAACAGCTGATTTAATTAAGATGATGTTTTACAACAACTTACAATGAATTTGTCAAAATTCCTTTTCACTTTAATCAAGCAGTTTCCGTATGTCTTGCCTAAATATGAGCCCATATCTTGGCTGTTAATCACGTGCTGGCTCATTCTCACCAACATGTACATGGAGTACCTGAAGTGTTGAGTTTACTTTAGAAATTAGAAAATAATACATTGATGGGGATTGCCTCAACACAATTTAATATTGCGTGTCAACATGGTATGTGACTTATGGCCAATTGACACAGATTTCAGCCTACTTTTCTTTAAGGATTTGCTTCCATAGCCTTTGTCCATCCAAGAACAAACTACAAGGCAGAAGTTATTTGATTTTGGAGTTTTCTCTCCTAAATAGGTTGCTGCCCCTTAGCTGACAAGCCTCATCTAAAGGGTCTAAACTCAGAACTTTTTGAGTTAACAATCATATGATCTCTTGCCTGACCACACCACTTCACCGTCCTCAATGTTCAGTATTAAATTTTAAAAGTGTCATCTGAAAGACTTACATTCCGTCCTGCCTGTCAGCGTGGGTTAGAAAATTGTCCAGCTCACTCTCCAGCTGTGGGAACAGTTCTCCCATCATTACTCTGTCAACAAAAATAAACTTCATCAACAGGAGAGCCAACATAAGTTAATATTATGTAAGGGGGAATTTCCTTGCATAGGATTTGACAATTAAAAAACATTCATACAGCAAAAATCAATTTGAAATAATTTTTTACTGCTTATGCTGCTAATATTGACATTGCAAAAACAAATGAATGCAGAATTTTAAAATAAAATCTTAAGCCAGAATTATTTGCTAAAAGTAACTTGCCTGACTTGGTCATTTATCTGTCTCCTAAAAAGGTAAATACATTTTTACAAATCAATCATTGATGAGCATATACAGGAAATAGCATTTTATATCATGCTACAATAATTAATCAATCAAACAATATACTTTTAAGCGTTGTGTACCCCATTCTTCTTACAGTGGTATACATATACCAACAAAATTAAATGTGTGTAGGTATGTGCCATGCAGAAAAACAGGTGCATGTGAAAATACTTTGCTCTGTCACAATAAAGCTAATTGTTTTAAATTTTTTAAAGAATTTTATTTAAGGGAAATATTTTGATCCTAAACTTTTAAAAAGAAGCCTTAATATTTTAATGTAAAAGAATGAGTTTCTACATAAAGTGAAATTTTTATCCCTTCTTTCTGGTTATTAAATAAAGTATCAACTTAAGCAAAAATATTGATAATCCAAAAGACTTGAACAAAATTTTCAAAATGTATTTTATCTTAAATGGTTTAAAAAAATTGTTAGTAAGGAAACTTCTTCATTATTTCTAGTTAGAAAAGCTATTTCAAATTAATTGACAACAATCAAGTACTTAATGTTAGGTTGTATGAATATATGGAAGTTCAAATTCTGACAATGATTATGGATTGGATTCTTTCAAAACTCTGGCCAGATGTTCATCGCCACCATTTACTTACATTTCTGAAGTAACTGTGGCTCTCTTTTGTAAAAGACCTCCACCCAGATTTTCTGTTACATAATCACCCCTAAAACAAATGGCTTGTTAGGTAATACTGTCATCAAAGTGTCGTTAAGGTGAATGGGTTAAGGCAATTAGCAGAAAAGCTTTGAAAAATTTGCAGTAAACTTTTAAACACAATCTCATTTTATATATAAAAGAAAATATTAAGTCTTAAAAGGTAATTAATTTGCATTGTCAGTTAGTTTTATACAGTTCACCTGAATAAGTGTATTAATTTTTTTTTAATAAATGTATCCAAAGATTTTTATTTTTAAAATACAAGTGGAAGATTTTTAAAAGCTTGAATGAAATATTGTAGGTGTAAAAGAGACAAACTATAAATAAATCATGCAGGTGGAAATAATATTTTCAATTTAACTTGATTACATTTATGAAGTTTAAGGACAATTTATGGTACTATATAGGGTTTAATAAATCATGTAATATATTCATTTCATACACATATTGATATTTTCTCTAATTCCAATTTTACCTAACATAAGGAATAAAATTACACACAAATTTTAAGTTAGTTTTGATTAGTGAAAAATGGATGAACATAAAACTTGGTCATTTAAAATTAACCAGCACCAGTTATTAAATTGTTTATAAGATTAACCGAACTCAAACAAAACTCTCAGGACTTACTCTGAGGAGGAATTGGTTTGTCTAACAACCCAAACATCAGCATCAACATCACCTGCACCCACAGAACTATCTTTGTCCTGCAGAACAAACAAAAAAGGCATGCCATAACAGACTAAATTATCTAAAAATGTATCACAATAATTGTTTCACTAAAATAAAAGGTACATAATTTTCCTACAGCATTTTTTAAATATAATGAGATTAAATTATAAATATAAATTTCACAAAACATGTGTACATAAAGAGGATAGAAACAAAATTTTAAAAAAGAATCACTTTTCCATGAGGCTCCTCCATAGACACATTCTTATCAATCAAATGGAAAAACTTGAAACAAAAATCTTGTTCCGCAATGCAGACTCTTTCCAGTTCGTGTAGCACTCGTTCAAGGACCTGAGCCATCAGGATTTTAAAGACATAAAAATATAATCTAATTTACAAGCTAACCATAGACTTTAACAATTGTATTTTTTTTTCTTGCAATTTTAAAGTAATATACAGCTTGTGTAAAAAGTAAATAATTTTGTTTATTTAAATTTATTTAAAAGTGAAGTAACTTTTCAAATGGAGATAAATGCACAGTTTAGGATTATTAGTCATTAAATTATTAATTTGCTCTTTTAGAAGTTCTGTTAAACGGTACTGTAATTTGGCCAAAGATCCTACCTGATCAAAAAGCCCTTTAGCTGTTAGATCTACTTCTGAATTAGATTTCTGAGCTGATGATTCAATACTTTGGACTGAACCAGAGCGACCTCTGTGGTCTATTTTGGCCAAGCTAGTGGTGGATCCACTGAGGCGTGACAGAGTAGCTTAAAAACATAAGTAGGAAAAATGTATTATAGAAAACTCACTTTTGCTCTAAATGGTTTAAACATTATAATCTCTAAATGAAATATTTTTTTGAGATTCTCAGATAACTTATCAAAACATCAAAGCCTCAGTTTAAACCCTTATTTTTTTAAAATACTACTTTTTCAAAGGAAGAGAACTATAATATTAAGCCCTTATAAATAGAGAAAGACTATCAAAGTTGGTAACACAAAATTTTAAACACTACTTGAGAATGGATCAAATACAAATTTAAACACACACCATGTTTCCCTTTGCCATCCTTGTTGCCACCTAGCCTTTGCTTGGCACTCTCTAAAAATTCTGATATCTCCCTTGAGTACAACTTACATAAACTGTTCATATACACCTGGATGGGTGAAGAGACATTGAAATAATTAACTGTTCATACAACAATAATTAATTGTTCATAAAATGTGTTTTCATTATTTAATTGTATTGAATAATCATTTTTTTTTAAATATTTTTATTCAAAATGTAACCTATAATGAAATTTAGATTTTTGATAGTCTTTCTTGTGAAGATACTTATTATTATATTTTTTTAAATAAAATCATAACAAAATCATGAAAGAAATTTAGATTATTTTTAAATTTTGATTTTAGAAAAATGCTAGTATTTGAATTTTTTTTTCTTGTTAGAAATGTATAATTAAACAGTTAAAGTTCATGGAGAACCTACGAGATCATTAAACAGTTTAAAGTTTATGGAGAAAACTACCAAACAGTTTAAAGTTTATGGAAAGAACTACCAAACAGTTTAAAGTTTATGGAGAGACCTACCAGATCATTGAACAGTATAAAGTTTATGGAGAGAACTACCAAACAGTTTAAAGTTTATGGAGAGAACTACCAAACAGTTAAAAGTTCATGAGAAATCTGTCAGATTATTTAACAGTTTAAAGTTTATGGAGAGAACTACCAAACAGTTTAAAGTTTATGGAGAGAACTACCAAACAGTTAAAAGTTCATGAGAAATCTGTCAGATTATTTAACAGTTTAAAGTTTATGGAGAGAACTACCAAACAGTTTAAAGTTTATGGAGAGAACTACCAAACAGTTTAAAGTTTATGGAGAGAACTACCAAACAGTTTAAAGTTTATGGAAAGAACTACCAAACAGTTTAAAGTTTATGGAGAGACCTACCAGATCATTGAACAGTATAAAGTTTATGGAGAGAACTACCAAACAGTTTAAAGTTTATGGAGAGAACTACCAAACAGTTAAAAGTTCATGAGAAATCTGTCAGATTATTTAACAGTTTAAAGTTTATGGAGAGAACTACCAAACAGTTTAAAGTTTATGGAGAGAACTACCAAACAGTTAAAAGTTCATGAGAAATCTGTCAGATTATTTAACAGTTTAAAGTTTATGGAGAGAACTACCAAACAGTTTAAAGTTTATGGAGAGAACTACCAAACAGTTTAAAGTTTATGGAGAGAACTACCAAACAGTTAAAAGTTCATGAGAAATCTGTCAGATTATTTAACAGTTTAAAGTTTATGGAGAGAACTACCAAACAGTTTAAAGTTTATGGAGAGAACTACCAAACAGTTTAAAGTTTATGGAGAGAACTACCAAACAGTTAAAAGTTCATGAGAAATCTGTCAGATTATTTAACAGTTTAAAGTTTATGGAGAGAACTACCAAACAGTTCATGAGAGATCTACCAAGACTACTCACAGCTGACAGCTTCTGGAACACTGACTCATCTGAATTCTTCAGCCACAGCATGAGGTCAGCATAGATGACCAGCTCTCTGTGGATGGTGCTGTGGTTTGGCATCCTGATTTCTACAGTGAACTTGCTCAGGGTTTCACCCACCTCATTGCCCTGCAACAGAATTACATCCTGCAATCAATGGTTGGATGATACCTCTTGTGGGAGTACTCTAACCAAGCTTGCATACAATTTGCATGACATATTTCAAAGAGATTTTACTTTTTATACCAGTGACAGCTAGTTTTGTCATAAGAGCAAAATATTAATGAACACTACACTGTCATTTAATTCAAAATCTTAGGTCCTAGATAATAATGCAATTTAAAAAAAATATAAACTAATTATTTTTAAAGTGGGAAAATGTGTTCATTTCAAAGTTTATTGATAGGCAATGCAAATTGTAAGCTAGTGAACTTGTTTATTAAAAAACAACATGCATGAAATAAAAAAGTAAGTTATAATATGTACTCATGATTTTTATCAAACTTACTTATCTGGTACTTTAATTTTAAAATGTTTTAGTCTTAATAATATTGCTGAGGTTGCAATTAAGCTTAAACATTTTATATGGCTTCATAAATAATGTGAGTTATGACCACCACAAAATTAATAAAAGTCAAATATTAAATAGGTAACTAAATTATTTTTTTAAAATCACATTTGCTATAAATTTTTTAGAGAAATTGTATAATAGATCTCACACAGTTGCACGGAAAAGCTATTCCAGATTAAATGATTAATCATTGACAATTTTTAAATACACTGTAATTCTAAAACAAGTGAATTTTAAAATATAGCCAAAGTATACAGCTTTAGAGAATTCTCAGAAATCACGGCATCATGTTTGATAGAAGTGATGCAGATACAGTCAAGTGAATCAAGGAAAATTTGCAAGACATTATGTAGATTAACAGAAGGGCGTGTGTGACAAAAATTAGAATTTGCAAGAAGCATGGTGTGTGTTCTGTAATATGATTACATAGTATTGTCTTTTTCTTTCAGTGCCCAGGACACATATTACGCATAGCCTACTTTAAAATAAAACAGAAAAATTAATTTAATTTAATGTAATTTTCCAGAAAAAAATAATCTTAATTCAGCACTGAATATTCATAACATTCTATTATAAAATCAACAAGTACCACATTTCATTTAAAAAAAATTATATTGACTTTTAAAAAATATTTAAATAATTCCTAACAAATAACTGTTTTACAATGTAGTTAATTTTCCACTTCTGGAATAATTCGAGATTGATTTTTTTTGTTTCTCACATAACAAAAATAATATTTTAACTTAAAATAAATTGAAAAACTATACAAGAAAAGAGAGGTTATTGATTGTGTGATACTTTATGAAAACAAATTTGACTAGCAAGATGAACACAAAAGGATAATTTTTTTTTTACACTTTCTAAAAATATAAATGAAAACTTGAAATAAAAATCTTAATAACTGTGCTATTTAAATATTTAAATTTCTTCTTTGTATTAATATAATTATAAATTTTTAAAATTAATTCCATATATATTCAAACTCATTTTTCTATTGACTGAAACACAACAAAACAAATTTAAGTAATTGAAAAGCATCTGACATCGTAAATTTAACAAGTTCTAATGTGTGCAAGAAGAAAGAAAGATAAATTTCATGAAATGAATCTCATCAAAAATACTTACAAATAGATGTTGACTTTTCTATAAAATTTTTAAATCCAGCAAGATATATTTTCAGACTAGTTGATACACCATAGGAACATTTAACATAATCAAAATATTTACATGCAAATATTAACAAGCCCAACCAAAAGAACACTAAAAACAATTACATAAAATTTTGACAATTAATTTAAGTGAATAATCTCATATATTTTAATTCAGAGAAATATTTTAATATCTTGGATATTGAAAATAAGATGTAAAACATTTGTACCTGCTGTATAAATAGGTTATTCAAATGCTGAACCAGTTTCTTCGAGAAATTGACTGACATCTTTTTAAACCTTTTCTGTTGCTCTTCTACAGCTCCCATGCGTAGCAATGCTGAAAGTATATTTGTTATTCAGTAATAGACAGCAGCAGAATGTTGAGGCACTTTTCTTTTATTTGTGATTTAATTGTATCACTTGCGTCAATATCAATAAAATAAAATAAACAAATGATAAAAAAGAAATTTACTACTGCTCACTATATATCTCTTTTATGGTATTGTTGTCTCTGACTGATTAACTTTATTTATGATTGGCGAATTGGCTAAGGGAGATAACTAGACCTTGACAGGTATAAGAGATTACAAGGAAATCAGTTTAAACCAACAGAATACTCCTCAGTGTAGAACTGGCCAAAAAAAACTTACATGGGTGGATGTCGGCGTTCATGCAGCGATGCAAAGCCTGGGCAGCAGCCGTGCACTCTGTGATTCCATTCGGTGTTGTCAGGTCAACGTCCATCAGTGCTTGCACATGTTTGAGGTCAAGGTCAAGCTGGTTCTAACAGAAGGGCACACAAAATGGAACATGTTTGACTAACCTTTTTTTTAAATTGGATAAATTTTATTCCAAATTGGTAAGGCAAATTTAAAATACTTTTTTTTTCAAACAAAAGTCAACGAATAAAATCTGAGTTAAAAAATTATTTTTTTAAAACTGATGAACTTACAACCAAATTTTGCAGGTCATCCAGCAATCGTTGATGGTTGTTGTTTCTTACAGTCATCAATAAGTCTTTGTCTCTCATCACCTCCATCTGCTCCTTCACATTCTATAACAAGAACATTTTAACACACAAAAATTATTCTTGTACAAATAGAGCTTTAAAATGACACTAAAAATATATTTTTTAAATTCAGCATTACTTGACACATCAATGATAGATGAAATACACAACTAAATGTAAACAGTCATAAAAATCTCATGAAAGAGCAGTAAATTGTAGAATACTTACAGCCAGCATCTTATCATATGAATCTAGTTTCTCTTCTATTTGTTCTGCCTCTTTGATGCCATCGTCTAGCAGTCTCATTAAGTTTAAAACTTGGTCCTCAGATCCCATGATGGAATGAATGTTGGCCTGGAAAATACAATTTAATATTTTTAAATTTGTGGTTTAAGAGAAAATTACAAATTTTGTTTACAAGTTCAGGGAAAAATTATTTTTTTATCTGGTACTACAATTATTTAAAATATAACCTATAGTTCTTTTTATAAATATGACACAGCAGTTTCTTTTTTTTACTCTTGCCAAAAGTGGAAGATGTAAGCAGTAGAGCACTCAAACCTCGATTGATGTAATATAAAATTATCATCATCATCCTTTCCCTTTAATGCCCAAAACACATGGGGCAGGTGAAGTAGAGTTTATCTATTTCAATGACCTCTGGAGATATTATGCCTAGCCACATTTGTCTCCCTAACCTAGGTCAGATACTTTTCAGAGCTGAGTGGACTCCGGGATGACCTACAGACTCAAACCCTGAAATCTTAACGTAAGATGTTTTGGTTTGCAGCCATAAACAACATAAGAAATAATGATTCACACTAGTTGCCATCTCACTCAAACCTACCCCGTCAAGAACAGATAACTGTTTGGAGAGCTGCTCTGTGAAAACTTCAGCGTTGCTAATAGCAACTTGACATTCTGACATGAGCAGTTCAAGATCTGCTTCTTCTTTGGTTGAAAGTGCTTGGTAATCTTCACCTTCTATGGATATGTCATCAACAGACTGCGACTTCTCTCTCAGTGTATGGGGGTCTTTGATATCTGTTAGCGTAGCAGTCAAAAAAATAAATGGGTTTAAAAATAACTTGAGAAATAAAAAAAATTGAAACAAAATATTATCATTAATGATTTTAAAATTAATTATAAATAAATTACACTTTCAAAGTAAATTATCTAACAATATGAGAAAATTAACTACCAATCAATTGTACTTTAAAGTTATATATCTGATGATATGAAAAAAGCTAATTATTTTTAACTTTAAAGTAATCTACTCATTATATGAAAAAGCTAATTAGCAATAAACTCTACCTTCAAGTAACCTATCTGGAATATTTACAAACTCAGGTCGCTGTAACAGAAATCTATTGCTCAACTGAAAAATGTAAAAGTAAATTTATTAACCATTGAAAAGAATTTTTCCCCTTTTGCTCAAGTAGAATTAATTAACATATATATAACTTCAGCCCCTTAAATCAGTATGTTTGTTAACTCTAATATAGATAAATAATTATGATAAAAGACAAACCCTCCATAATGATGAAATAAAAGTTTCTTTTTCTTCCACTGATGATGCCGACCATTTGATTGTCTTGTCAAAAAAGTGAAGGTCAAAATCTGTAGTTTGCTGAATAAGATTTGTTTTGTAAGAAAAACCATTTGAATTAATTTTCTTTAAATTTCACTAATATAATTCTGTTTATATAAAAAAATATTTTCAAAAGCTTTAGTTATAATAAGTAACTACTTGAGTTTTAAGGCATTATTTGGAACATAATGTTGAAAAAATAATAAATCATAAATAAATCATTTAATTATAATAGCTAGGCAATGACAAAAATATTCATAATTCAACTACAATTTTTTAATAGATTTCATATAACCTTATCAGCTGACTTTCCGTCAAACTGTTTTAAATCTCTTAGCAGCCATGACATTTTTTTCTTGAAACCATCTGCTCTGTCAGCTTTTTTTACATGATAAATGTAAACTTTTGCAGGACTTTCCATTGTATTTACTGAAATGATAAAATGTGTTTAAATGGTCCTAAATGTAAAAGTGTGTAAGTTATATTCTTAGAGAGATTAATGAACAATAGGCCTAATTATTATTAATTGTATTAGGCCTAATTCTTGTGAATGTGTGTGCTGCTGAGGAGTGCTACACATGTGTAGAATTGTATGTCAGTGTTGTGACTAGGGTATACACTATATATTATAATCACTAACTTACTGCTAGTGCTATAGTATAATACTAGTACTATTATACTATAATATTTAATAATATTACAGATATCCCTAACCTTCTAGCCTACTATATGCCAAGAACAATTTTTTTTATATTTCTATAACTTGCCAGTGCTGTGCCACATTTACGATTTAGATCATTTAAAATTAATTTTAGAATTAAGATAAACTTACAGACTGCACAAAGTAAGCTGCTTCTTTTTTTAAGATTTGTTTTCCGAGGCATTTTTGCAACGGAGATCATAGTTATTAAACGTTCATCATTTGGAGAAAACAGCATTTGCTGCAACTGCTGTCTTGACATGGCTGCTGGCTGGTGATTACTTTTCCTAAGTCAAAGAAGCTAGTGCTGCTAGATTATAAAAATATAAGTTAGTAAGATACTGTTAGACAGTTTAGAAAAGTTTGTTTAGTAGTTTAGTGTGAGGCGACTTAGAGTAGATTAAGTACTACTAGTCTACTACTAATAACTAATTATAACTAATTCTATAGATTATAGACCTACTAACTAGTACTAACTATAGCAACTAAGAAGTGTAAACTACTTAACTACCAAACTAGTAACTACTAATACATTTTGCTATTTTTTGCCATGGTGTCACCCCCCCCTAACTAAATGGTGTCACCCGGTGTGGTTCGCACCCACCCCTAACCCCACGCTACGCCTCTGAATCTTGCTGCTCTAACAACAAGCCACAAGCAGTCAGTAGCAGAGTAGCAGAGAGTTAGCAGCAGAACACAGAATTACTAGAATCTAGCAATTCAGTTTAGCTGTAGTTTAGCACTTTCACTTAGCAGCTACTGCTAGGCCTAGGCCAAAAAACTTAAAAAGTAGTCTAGAGTCTAGCAGCAGCTGACTCTCAGAGAGTCTCAGACTCTACCAGTCACCACTACTACACACAACACAGTGAGTGTCTGCCTACGCTACTGTCACAGTAACTCTTACTCAAGTAACTGAGTATCACTCACAGTCACAGTAACTCCACTCTACTCTTCTAGTAAACTCTAGTCTAGACTAGAGTCTAGAGTCTAGACTCTAGAGTGACTCTAGAGTTAGATCTAACTCTAAAATTAGCCGGCATAAATAGATCTAAAATCTAAATTAATAATTTTACTTGTGAAATAGGTGAAAGTGTATACACCTAGCCAATAAAGCGAGTTAATCTAGATTCTAGATCTAGACTAGGCCTAGAGATTAGATTCGAGTCCGAATGAAAATAAATATTGTTTTTTCGTAGTCCAACACCCCTTGTTGACTTCCGTGTCTGCTTATCTCCCATTCATGATTACTTTAAAAAGTTGTATTGCTCTAAAGCAAGTAGATAAAAAAGTGTAATTAGTTTCTTAAAAGAAGAAAAATAACAATATTATCATGTAATTCATTGAATGTTAACTTTTGCCCTCCCAAACAGTGTTTCTTCCAGACTTTTTTCTCCGGGGGGGGGGGGGGGGGCACTTGAAATTTTCGGGGGGGGGGGGGTAGACTTTCTTCGGGGGGGGGGGGGGGGCGGACACTGTTAAAAGTATATATTTTCTATGTAAATTATATAAATTTCATTTCGTTCAGGGGGCGGTAAAAAATTTTCGGGGGGGGGGGGGGGGGGCTAAGCCCCCCCCCCCCCCCCCCCGAAGAGATGCCTGGAAGAAACTCTGCTCCCAAATGGTAGGCCTATTAGATCTACATATATTTTATATGGGCCTGTTATAATATACTTTAAAATTATTTTTAATACATGAATAATATCTTTTTATTAAACAAATTTTATGACATATCCTGATCTTCATAATATACATAACTGAAGTAAATCTAACTAAATAATAAATGACTTCATTAGAAAAGAAATTCCATTTAATAAATTTAATAACAAATAATTTATTTCGAAATTAGTTTTATAATTTGATATAATTTAATAAAAATAGATAAATTCCTTTCCTTAGAAGAGGCACAAGTTGTTAAAGATTATGGTAAACTGTTATTTAATCACAATGATAGAGAAAGTTTGGCTATGTATCATGCTGCAGTTCAGATTTGAGATTTCTAAATTAAATTAATAATTTCACTGACATTATTGAGATCTAATCTGTTTGGTTATACATTTTGTCATTTTCAAGCTAACATGAAGTTTAACAGCTGAACTTTATTTCAGACAAGTCATCTTAGTTAAGATAATATTAAATAGCACATTCAGATTTAACTTTGGAATACTATTAATTAAAGACTACATTTTTACCATGTAGACATATTTAGACAAATAAAACTTCACAAAGAAAAAAGTAACTCATTAATTGTATAATATATTTATTATATAAGTTAATATTTACAATTAGTATATTTACATTATAATAAACAACCATCCATACAATAAAATGCAGATTTAGCATATGCATCCTAGCTAAATAAAATCTTATTACTTTGTAAAAATTACATCTTAGTGAACATTCCTCACCAAATATTTTTAAATGGATTGCATTTTTTTTCACTGGCTAAACCTGAACAAAAACCTTTTCAACATTTGAAAATTTAGGAATTTTTATTGATAGGCAAGAACATAGCTATTTAATCTACAAACACTTCATAGCAATAAAAACATTGTAACAATAAAAATGTTAATTCTATACAATTTTACACACACAAATTGTAGAATGTACAAACATTACAATAGCTTTCAGGTAACAATTTTACAATATTCCAAATATGTACAATTAATACTTCTAGCTTTTCACAGCTACAGACTATCTCCAAAGAAATGAACACCATCTGTTAAGGGTATATACAGTGGGATATCTATAATCACCTCTTAACAAAGTGAAATCTTCCTAGTTCAAAATGTTTGCCTGAAATAAGCATAAACACAAACATATGGGCCACATTTGTTAATATGAAGGTTGGAGGCTTGATTACTGGTCAACAGCACTATGTATTTATTATTATTACTTTATTTACTTTACTAGTGAAATTTTTCGTATGAGAATATTCATAGTTTCAAGAAAAACAAATTATGATTCTGGCAACTGGAAGATTTAAATAATTTGGTTATGCATTTCAATGTTGTCTTAAAATTAAAATGTTTTAAATCAAAACAGTTAAAAGATTATTTTTTTTAAATAAATTTTAAAACAAAATTAGTCTCAGAAACAGGAAGTAATCTATTTTGGTGGTGTTGGTGTTGTTCTTTTCTTGTTTTTACTTTTTAAATTGCTCTGGGCTTGCGCTAATGTAGCTGTTGTGGGTTTGAGTTGTAGGGAGTGAAACTGCAGGGTCTGTGGTCCACCTGTGGGTCCTTTTTGGAAAGCCACATGGGTCGGCATCTGGGATGTTCCTTGGCTAAGTGTTGCCTGTGCCCCACCAGTTAGCTGAATTAACTGCTGTGGTGTTATAGCTGTTCCACCTCCTGACTTGCCAGCAAGGGCTGATATTTGTTGGGTTGTTAACACTTTATCAGCAGCAAATTAAAAAAAAATAATGTTGATTTCAAAATAAAATTGGTATGTGGTCAGTAAAGTTATTACATATGCATAAATATTTTTATGTAACTTTTTTTTAAAAATTACACTCTTCAAAATGGTTCTGTTTCAAAAATAAGAAATGGCAACAAAAACTATCTGTTCAACAGTTATTTTGCTTACCTGAAGAAAGTGGAACAGTTGAGCTTGTTCCCTGAGTCAACCTGGCAACTCCTTGTTGGGTGGATGTAGCTGTAATATTGCCAGATTTTACTTGACCTCGCTGCTGCTGTAAACTTAAAAGCTGTATTTGTCCCTGCTGACCTTGTAGCTGGGTGTAAATTAATTGTAAGGACAAATTATAACCTAACGGCTCATTTTCAAAGTTTTACATGAGGGTTAATCAGTGAACAAAAAAAGTAAAATAATTGAGATTACAATTTTCATAAAGATGGTTACATAAATGTCTAAAGTTAACTTGAGAAGTGGCCAAATTTCAAGATTTATGGAAAATTTCATTTGGACAATGATAATATTTTTATGCCTACTAGTCCACTTTAAATACATTTGATTAAAATGAAAGGTAAACGACAAAATATTTTTTCCTTTTTTGTTACAGTGGCAGTGCAAAAAAATAGTACTAGAATTGTTTAAATAGTTTCATTACTTAGCCACACTCTGAAAATTTTCAAGAATATTTAATCCTACATGCAACAATAATTTCAGCCCCTAAAAAACAGGTTGTTTAATGACTGTAACATCTACTTACTATAAGGAAATCAACCTGTAACAGTAGAACTAAAATGGCTTTAATGAACTGTCAATTACCTGTAAAAGTGGCATGGTTGACCCCCTGATCCCTTGGTTGCCTTGACCTTTAGCCGAGACAGGCATCAGCTGTGTGATCCCACTCAGGCCCACAGGGAACGACAACATGTTTGACCCTTGAGGCAGCACTGTGGCTGTATTGGAGGAATGACCTACAGAAACCACATGTTAATGAGACACATTTGAGTAATTAGCTTCATCAAAAGTATCATTTACAATTAAAGAACAGCGTTGCATTAACTAAGTAAAATAACTCTTTGAGTTTTTGAGCATTCTATTTATTATATTTTAAGTTCATTAGCTTCAAGTTTGCTATGATTCATTGCATATTATTTAATTAACCGAAATAAAATACAAGATTCAGAAAATCTACATTCAGTTTTGTTCTTAGTTTGAAAGATGACAACTAAAATATAATCTACATGGGGGTCATCCATCTATGACGTCCACAAATTTTTGGGATTTTGGACCCCCCGTTCACAAAAATCCACTTAATTCCCTTTTAAAAGTCCATACGAGTCCGCAAAAGTCAATTTTTTTCAGAACCCCCCCCCCCTCCGTGTGGACGTCATAAATGGATGACCCCATAGCTGAACCTGTGAGACATATGTAAGAACATACTAGAGGCAGATGAGATCTGTGAGGACATGGATGTGCTGGTACTGGTGGAAGTGTTTGATGTGGATGCTTGAAGGGCTGTCACCATGGTTACGTATGTTGTCGTACTCGAACCAGACGTTGAAGAGGAGGTGCACTGCCAATAGATTTTAAAATCATTTTAATAGTTTCAAACTATTTCATACATACACGTTGGATTTTTTAACTGAAAGATTTTTTACTTAAAAAAAAAATATTATATTATTACATTAGCTGTTGTAATAGAACTCAACAAAATAAATTTACCAATATGCCAGACTGAGTCTGAAGTAAAGATGGATTGTTATTGATCATTGTAATTGGTACAGCTATCTGTGCTAGTGATACCTGGAAATACAGATTGATATTTATATGTGTAGTAAAGCTTTGCTTTTAGAAAGTAACAATCAACACTGAAAATTGCCAGCAATATTTTTTTCAAATTTTTTTTCTTCTTAAACTTACACTTCATTTATTTTAACTTTTATTTTCAAAATAATATGTTTTAAAAAATAAATATATCTAATAGGAATTATATAAACCAACAATTACATTTTATGACAAAAACACTTAATCATGAGCTGAGGTTACTGATTAAGCTGAAACTTACTTGTTGAAGGCCTGACAAGTTTGTGATGTTCACCCCAGGTATTCCTGTCAGACCTTGGATATTTATATTAGGTGGAAGATTCCCAATACTTATGTTGGCAATACCCCCTGATTGCTGTTGGTTCTCTCCTACAAAAAAAAATTATTATTATTATTTTCCAAATATACCATAAACAAACTAAATATGATTAAAGTAAAGTTTTGTATAGAGCACAGAAGTACTCAACAATAATAAACAAAAAAAATTGATCCAGTACCTGAATTAGCCTGGGAAGCTCCGGAAGCTAGACCTGAAAAATTTTAATTTAAAAAACGGATCCATCATCATTTTAACTTTATATGCAATAAAAGACACAATGTTAGCGTTAATAAGTAAACTGTCACTAATTTAAAACTATACAATTTTTACCATGTGTCTTGTCCTCATGTCATATAAGTTTCAGTTGATTTCACAAAGAGAAATTTTTAAAATGTTACCGTGTAATAGATACAGTGTCTTGCCCTCACCTTGCAAGAAGTTAGCAATGTTCTGCTGCTGCACTTGCTGTTGCTGCTGACTAGCGCTGGACGCTTGCTCTGCTCCTGATGATCTCCTTGCGCCAGTTGGGGTAGGGGTTCGAGCATTGGGTGGAGGGGTTTGTGCAGGGGTGGGGGTGGGAGCTTTGGGCAATGCAATCATTGAAGCTGTTGGTATATGAAGTTGCTGGGCTGTTAAGATGACCATGAAGTAAAGAAAGAACTAATGATAAAATATTTTAACCCTATCAATAATGCTACCTAAGTATATTGCATCACATTGTAAAATAATACACGTGTAAAAATACACGTTACCAACTTTGTAAAATTTTTAAGCAACACATTCCTACAGACTTTTAAAGTTTTCATTAGACTAATAAAAAGCTAAGCATCAATGCTAAAGCCTTAAAATTACTTTTAAAATTTAATAATTGTTTAACACAGGAAAATAATTTCAAATGAAGAAAGAAGTGTTTTTTTTGTATACTATAAATATTTTACCTCAACAATATAGGTTTACGTCACTTACATTGTGCAGTTTATTGAATTTATAAAAATTAGGGTAAAATTGTTTTGTAAACGCAACATATACTTACGAGTAGAAACTTTAGGTGGCGCTACAGGGCTTGCTAATGGTGATGAGCTTGGTCTGCAAACAAATTATTTCATTATTTAAAAACACAACATCAGACAACACAATTTCTGAGATGCTTGATATTCTAAAAGAGACTATACAGCTATACAGTTAATGTTCTTTAAGTCCAAGTTTGGGCATCAAGAATGGGAAAGGATATACAGCTCATTAGCCACTAAAAAAAAGTAATGAAATAACTCTTTCACAGAAAGAGATAGAAGAAAAGACAAGCATTAAGGAAACTGAAGTAAAAATAATTAGAACCCTTAACTGACCTCAGTTGACCTGTAATGGTTACAGGTGTTTTCATCCTCTGGGCAGTGATGGAGCCTGATTGGACAGTTGAAGCTAAAAATTGTGCTGATAATGAAGACGGGATGCCAGTAGCATTGGCTTGTGCAAAGATACCTGAAATTAATTTGTTAAAAGTCTAGAAATAAAACTGAAAGTTAAGTTGGCACGTGAAGACAAACAGTAAGTTAGGAACAAAGAATAGGAGAGCTGAGTGACCAACAATATTTTTTTAACTTCTTTTATACATGTAAAATCTTGGAAAAAAAAGACATTTAAAATGAGCCTGGTAAGAAGAAAGTCTCAAGTTCAGATCCAAGGCTTGAGTCTGTCGAATGTCCCTGAGCCCACCCAGCTCTGAAGAGTGCCTAACTCACATTAGGAAAACAAAGTTGGCTCAACATAGTGCTGACCACACTTTCCCCTCATATGAAGAGGTCATGTAACAAATAAACTCTATCTGCTCCATGTGTCTTGGGCAAAAAAAGGGAAAAGATTATGTTTCAGCAAAATAATGTAGAAACAAGCATTTCTAGCAAACACTTTGCCAGTTTCTTTCCTTCCTCACAAAATACATCTTACCAACATAGTTAACATTACTTTCAGATCAGCAAACTTTCTTTTACAAGACCAAACATAATACTTAAAAAACTATTTTCATAATAAATTTTCATGATAATTTTTTAATTACATCTGTTGGTGAAAATCTGTTTCTACTATCAGTAAGATGTAATCACTATGACAACTGAGTTGACTAGAAGTGGTTGTTCATCGTTATTACTAAATAAAGTTTACAATTCTGTTTGGAACAAATATCAAACCTTGCGTGGATGACAAACTGACAGCAGGGCTCAATGACAAAGACAACTGTATGGGTATGTTTCTTTTGTTGGCCAGATTGGCCACAGTGCCCATGTTTGTTGTGGTGATCTCCCCTGGCTTGACCAGCTGTTGGGTCGTCACCTGTTTGATTATGGTCTGGGCGTTGTTGATTGTGATAGCAGTGGGCGTCAAGTTGGTGATGGTTTGAGGCATGACCTAAAAGATGTTTCCATTTGGTAAGCAATTTAAACATGATAAATTTTAAGGGTTTTAGCATAATGAAGTTCAAAAAACCAAAATCCAGATTAATGGTCTCAAAAAGGTTAAGTACATTGAAAACTATTTACCTGTGTGTAATGTATAGTAGGTGCAGGCTCATTTGCTTTTAAAATAGCAATTTTCACTTGTAATTTCCCCTCTTCTGTAAACAAATCTTTGAATTGTTGAAGGTACCTAGCAAAATATAGCATGTCACTGAAAGGGTGATGTATTCATTTTTTATACAAATATTTTACTATGTAAGAAAACAATCAGAAATTTCTTTTTATCAACTATGTTTTGACTTTAACAAACTCACCGGTCAACACATTGTCTTGAACCTAGGACAAATCTAGAGAAAAAAAAGAAAGAAATTAATATACAATTATGGAGTTTTATTTTTTGATTAAACTAAATGTTATTACTTTAGGCTTTTGACCACTAGCCTAACGACTGAAAAAAAAAAAATTTCTAGGACTGAATAAATGGTAAGAAATACATATTAGTTTTATTCAACCTCAAGAGACAAAAAAGTAAATGAATGTCAAACATATTCTTTAGTGAACAGCTGTTTGAGTTTCCAGAAAATATATTGCAGTAAACTTTGTATTATTTCCCAAGCTAAAACCTTGAACAATAGACCAACTACTTATGAAGTTTGATTGTTGTAAAACTTGTTATAATAATCAAGATATATGTCTAACCTGCATCTACGCCCTTCATCCCCTGTTCGGCCTTGAGTGTAATCGTGATCCAAATAAAATTCCCCAAAGTAGTTGTCACCCAACTGGGGTTGATAGATTGTGATCTTGGCCATCATATGGCGTTCAAGTGTTGGATCTCTCTCCATTGTATGCTCTTCTACAAAAATCTGTCATGTAAACAAGTTAAACAGATTTTTTAAAGAAATTTTCTTTGTAGCATCGAGGAAACAAAAAAAGTAAATTCAACTTATGTTGTCAATGAGCATCAGCCGCTTTGCATGTAACTTTTCAGTAGGCTGGTGAAAGTTTTAGTCTCGAGTTTGGATCCTGGGCTCAAATCCCATTGGATGTTCTGGTGTCCACCCAATTGGTACTTGACTCATTTAAATAGAGTAAAGGCAGCTGGGCCTAGACCTAATCACACCATCCCTTGATATGTCCAGGTCACAGAATCCCGTGAACTCTATTTCATCTACACTGCCAGGTGACTTACTTTCTGATAGTTTAAGTAACATTAAATTAATGTATTATTGCCAAATGAAATAATTCGCCACATGATAGTTTAAGTAACATTAAATTAATGTATTATTGCCAAATGAAATAATTCGCCACATGATAGTTTAAGTAACATTAAATTAATGTATTATTGCCAAATGAAATAATTCGCCACATGATAGTTTAAGTAACATTAAATTAATGTATTATTGCCAAATGAAATAATTCCCCACAATCAAGTAACATTAAATTAATGTATTATTGCCAAATGAAATAATTCCCCACAATCAAGTAACATTAAATTAATGTATTATTGCCAAATGAAATAATTCACCACATGATAGTTTAAGTAACATTAAATTAATGTATTATTGCCAAATGAAATAATTCCCCACATTAAATTAATGTATTATTACCATTCCATCAGCTGAGGGTGTTTCTGGCAGTTTTGCAAACTTTTTAACCTGAAATAGGAAGAAAATCAACATGTTGAAATGTAGTTTAAATGTATAGCAAACTATGATATTAAAAAATATGGAGCCAAGTCTCTGTTACTAACATCAATAGACTCTGGGATTGTAAGCTGAGGGGAAGACTTAAGCTTGAATCCATCTATCACCTGAAAAAAATAAATGCAGTGAAAATTTCTATCTAAAGAAAAATGGTTAGAAAATTGGGAATGTTTTGTAGTTTTTAAAAATATGATTTAAGTGATAAAATTGTTTATTTAAATTATATGTAGCACAAAATAAATGTACAAATATTTCAAACGCTGAGAAAGGTCTTTTTTTTTTAAACAGACTATTTTATAAACCTGTATTTATTTACTACAAATCAATGTGGTACAAAACACTTGCCAGTCTAGCTTTATTCAAGCCCGGCTGAGTAATAACTTTGTTTTTCTCCTTCTTTTTAGATAAGAAATCATGGAGCCTCATTCCACTCGGTGCAGGTGCTTGTGCTAACTTGCGCTTTTTGTTGACTGCAGCTTGGGTGTAGCGTTTTACTGATCTGTAAAAAAAGCAGTTTGATTTTTACAAACACACTTATTCAACTGTTATAGAGTTAAATGTTAAACTTTTCAATGAACAAGAACATAGTTTACCATATGTACATTTTTAAATAACAAGTCCATTTGCTAACCCTGTAAAGTCTTTGTTTTTACTGCTGTACTAACCTTAGCTCTTCTATAAATAACAATCAACAGTATTTTACTAATTATTGTTCTGAAACATATCCTTGTAGGATAATTTTATAATAGACAAAACTCCACATTGCTTTTTACAAAATTATGGACTCCTAAAATATATTAAATAAAATAACCTTTTTAATGCAGGGTCATTTAAATATTTTTCTTCATATTGTAAAGCATTTTCTATCAGCATAACAGCAGGAGATGGATCTAGACACAAGGGTTCCTCTGTGGCAAGGATAAGTTCACTCTCTAAGTGGAAGATCTCATCTTGAGTCCATGGACGACCATCACAGCTCATAGCAGTGACATCCCTTAGCAGTGACTAGAAGGGGGTTTTAAATGTGTTTTGAGTCCATGTTTAATAAATACATTCAATTTAAATTTAAGTACAGGATGTTCTCTGTACTTCAAAATATCTAAATAAAACCTACAATACGTAATATTTCAATATATATACACATTTTTAAAAAATCACTTGTTGAATTTTGAACAATTTTTAAAATTTTAAATATATTCACAGACAGTTCCTTTTACGCTATTGGAAAAACTAGACCAAACGGAGCAGCAACTAAAATTCTTTGAAAGCACAATTTTTTTAAAAACATAATAACAATTTAGCTATTATGAAGAATGTGAATTATGGTTTACATTTTAAATGAAGCATAACCTACCTGGGGTGAGGGTCTCAGTAGAACATACTGTGTATCATGTGAGCCAGTTGCCGACCTCCGATAATCTCGTACTTCTACAATGACACAACCGCTGTAGAATACATTCATCTGTGAGATAAAAAAAAAGAGTGTCCAGTTGTGTAAATAAAATGACAATAATATCTGTTAGATTTCAGGTGGATAAAGATGTGACTTTTTACCTGAGCTTTTTCCAACAGATCAAGAAGGAAAGGAGGTAACTGAAAATGATAAAAAATTATTACAAAGAGAAAAAAAATACCTGGAGTTTAAACCATTTCTAAAATAACTATGCAGTGTGAAAATAGCGATTAGTCTACTAAAACTTCTTAAAATTCTTTTTTAAAATGATTAATATATAATTGTTTTAAACATACATTCTTACCTGTGCAGCATCTATATATTCAAGAATTTCAGACTCCTGTACAAATAGGAATTTGAAAAGGATTTGCATTTGTCAGATAAATTTGTGAAAACTTAAGAAAAAAAAATGAATCTATGATTGTGTTTACAAATAACTATATACATAACTTTTCTTAAGATTGGTTAAAGTTGAATTAACGTTTTTTTTTAAACCTTTACTGTCTGGACACATATTTTTTATGTTGTACTGATAAGCAAAGGGAAATAAAAAATTTTACCATTGGAGCTTAAAATAATTAATTAACTTAAAAAATTAAAAAGAAAATGTTCTTTATTGAGAAAAATACATGCAGTTCATTGCATATTTCAATATTTCTTTTAATTTCACTTCAATTACCACTTTATTTTTTAAGTTAAAAACAACATCAAACTTGATAGTGAACAAACCATAGTATAAACCTAAAGTTTTTATCATTTATGTGAGTAGGATGGTGTAATATAAGAAAAATCTCATCAGTTTTTGGCCACGTAGAACAGTAAAGGGTTAAAATTCATTTAATTCAATTCAACATAAAGTTAAAAGAATTTTAGACAACTTACTTCATATGGTAATTTCATAGTTTCTGACTCCACTCCACTTTTAGATTTTAGCATAATTGAGTAACCTTCATTGCCTGGGTATAGACTGAGAACCATACAGTTCAGGCGCTCTCTTTTTGTCAGTTTTGCCAGCAAATGAGAGGCATACAGTAAATTTGTGTTTTCTGGTTCCTTCATTGTTTCTTCAATGTATAGATCAATCAGTTTTTGAGTGATGGATTTACTGCAAATACATACTTCAAATGTTAACATGTATCATTTTAAGTTAAATGCACATAATACATTAAGATAACTATTTACCAAGTATGTTAACAAAAATAAAAGCATTTTTTCATTAGTTTTTAGTTTATTTAAGAATTAGTTTATTAAAGAATAAGAAAGTAAAATCAATAGAAATTGATTTAAAAAACAAGGAATGGAAGCAATTTTATGTGGTTAAAAAAAACAGTTCTTATCAGTTACCATTACCTACCTACTAGTGATACCAGTAAAACCTATGTATTAAATGTCAAAGCACCAAAATACATACAAAATACTTCTAAAATAATGTGTAATGACCTTTTGTTGGTTGATCCAGTACTAGGTTGAACAAAAGTTGCAGGACTCTGGTCAGAGCATGCCAAAATATACTAACAAGGGAATAAAATAAACAGAATATATTTAAAAGTCAATTACGAATTTTAAAAATCAATACATTTTTTTAATGTGCCAAATATTTTCAATTTTACAAGCTTTCTTCCTATTTTGCACAAATATGTAGCTATAAAACAAATGTAATTATTAATTATATGTGTCAGCAGATTTTCTAACAAATCTTAAAATTCAGATGTCAATAAGTTTGCAGATAAAATTCACTTAGAGTTAATAAAGTTACTAATTACAGGCCACTGATAGAATTTCAGCAAACTTATTTCCAGAACAACACAAATGCTTTTTAAAACTTTTACAAATCCTTTAAAATTACACTAAAAATTAAAAAATTAAAATTATAGGCCTAATCTTTATTTATAATAGTAAAAGCAACAGCAAATAGTAACCAAAGCTTATTATAAAGGTTTGTATGTCTTTTCATTTTTCAATACTTATATTAGTTAAAAATAGATAGATGTTATGGACAATAATACTATTAAACAATAAATTTAAAATATTTTAGTTAGTTCAGTAAATAGTCAAAAGTAAAGTAGGATTTTTTAGCACAGTTATCAAAACTCACCATTATTTCTTGTATTACTAATACTAAAATACAAATATTATTTATTACCTCTGCATATTCCATAGCTCTTTCCATATCAGGTTGGTTAGATAAGTCCATAATTTTATAGATGAAATCTTGAACATAAAAATAGGAATAATATATAGGCCGACAATTTTATCCTTAATTTATCATATGTCAAATGATGTTTGTGTACTGTCAACATTTATAGATCTATAGTAGTAGCATTAGATTAGCCATTAGGGGTATAGTGAAGATATCTTGCATAATACAATTATAATCCATCAGAAAGCTCTTGACTAATTTTAGTATTATTTATTACGAATAGGCCTGGTAATTAAATAATTTAATTATCAGTCTAAAAATTTTAATCATCACATTAGACAATAGGTCTAACACTATCTAAAAAATAGATATCAAAACAGCCTCATTTTTTTAATCATAACATTTCAATGTTAAAATAGTTTTATTTCAACACTAAAGGTAGATGCAAGTTAAAAAAAAAAAAGAATCTTAGTGAATCTAAATATAGTACTTGTAAAAAAGACAGTGCAGTGTCAGTAGTAGGTCTGATGATAGTCCTAGATTTAGCTAGATCAATATGTTATTTAGTAAATTGTTTTTACAGCTATCTAGCATGTGTGGAAGTAGATCTAAGTCTAAAAACCTATGTGAACTCTAAAAAATGACCAGAAGTAGGTCGGTTTTTAATCTGCTTGAATGGGGAGAGAAGTGACGACACTGGCGATCTCAAATAGAACTTGTGTGTTCATTGTACAACATATGCTTGCTGAACTCACAGTGACCCCGCCAACTGTGGTGAGATTTTTCACCGGTGGGCTAGAAAACATAAGCAAGCAATCACACCAGTGACAATGTTTGAAAATTTTATTTTAAAAAAAAGAATTCTTTTAACTATTAATAAAAATTACAAGTGACGTTTGCAATATGAAATGTCAGAAAGGGCTTAGCAGAAAGCACTTAGCCGGTCATGCTAAGCCCTGGTTTAGAACTCAGAGCTCCAGTGTTATGAATAATATTAATATTATTATTAGCTGTTGACTCTATCACACCAATGTGCTGGCAAACAAAATATTATTAGAATATTAAATATTAAGCCTTTTTTTCAACAAATGTTAAAAATTACTAGATCTAGATCTAACTTAGGACTTAGATCTATTTAAAAAAAAGACTAAACTAGTAAACTAAACTAAACATTTTAAAAAGTTTAAAAAGTTGGTAATCTATCGTTTTGGGTACGTAAAATCGCCCGCGGCTAGTAATGTACGAAAAAGTTACCTCATTGTCAAGGCTTTAATAGAAGTATATTTTGATATATTTGTGTCAAATATTATAGATAAATGAATAATAAACCTAAATCAATAGCTAAATATATCAATATAGGCAAGAAATTAACTTTAAACAGCAGTGTTTGCGAGCAGGATTTCCTATATAAACAGCAGCCATTTGTAAAATAGAGTTGCCTTCCCCTGCATCTCGCGCTATAAGTTAACAAAGAAAGAACTTAAAAGATGGCTCACTATAGTAAATGAGCATGGTTGCATCTGTTGGAAACATCGCTAGTCTTCATTTATTATCGAAAAGGTTTAATTCAATTCTTTGAAAACAGGTACATACTACATAGGCCTATATGAAACAAGGAAACATTTTTGTATTTTAAAAAACATAAATCCTCCTCAAAATGTGAAATAATTATTAAAATTTAGGTAAAATCACGATATAGCGTCGGAAATTATTGGGTAATGTTCGTTGAGTTTCGGTAACATTCGTTACTGTAAACCATAGTTTATTTGACCGTTGAAAGATAAATAAAGTCAAGTGCATTAAATTAATGTTTTAACTTAATTTAACGTTTAACTGACAAAAAATTAGCAACAATTAGTAAATCTAAATATTATTAATAAATTCGAGTGTAGTAATTAATGTTTTTATTTTAAGAAACAGAAAAAACCTGCAGAAGATTTGCGACAACCAGCTCTAGTTCTGTTAGTAAAATAAGACGATTAGATTTACTTAGGCCTAAGTTAAAAGTAGTAAGAAGAACTAGAATAATTTTTAGTAGCAGCAATAATTAGCACATACACTTAAAATAATTAGAAATATAAAATAATTAGCAAAACAGTATTTAAAATGCAACTAAAAACAATCCTTGCACATTTTTAAACATTATGTATTAAAAATAATATGGCGGCAAATAAATGATGGTTTACAGTATTTCCGGTGGTTTCCGGAACGGCTCAACTGACTACGCCATGGTTTTACTGTTTTTTACTGCTATACAGTTCTGGAATAATAACCGACGCTATATCGTGATTTTACCAAAATTTAAGGAGTCACCTGGTTTTCACATTACAAGTCGCGGGCGATTTTACGTACCCAAAACGATAGATTACCAAAAAGGGTAATCTATCGTTTTGGGTACGTAAAATCGCCCGCGACTTGTAATGTGAAAACCAGGTGACTCCTTAAATTTTAATAATTATTTCACATTTTGAGGAGGATTTATATTTTTTAAAATACAAAAATGTTTTCTTGTTTCATTTATGTACCTGTTTTTAAAGAATTGAATTAAAACTTTTCAGTAATAAATGAAGACTAGCGATGTTTCCAACAGATGCAACCATGCTCATTTACTATAGCAGCCATCTTGTTTAAGTTTTATTTTTATAAGCTTTTAGCGCGAGATCAGGGGGAAGCCACTCTATTTTACAAATGGCTGCTGTTTATATAGCAAATCTTGCTCTCAGACACTGCTGTTCAAAGTTAATTTCTGGCCTATATCGATATATTTAGCCATTGATTTAGGTTTATTATTCATTTATCTATAATATTTGACACAAACATATGACAATATACTCCTATTAATTTATTAAAGCCTTGACAATGAGGTAACGTTTTCGTACATTAATAGCCGCGGGCGATTTTACGTACCCAAAACGATAGATTACCCCAAAAAGTTATTGATCTAGAAATCTAGACTCTAGACTAGATCTAGAACTAGATCTAAATAGAATCTAGATTCTAGATAATCCCAATATATTTAGCAAAAACAAGAAAATACTTTTGAAAAAATAGATTCTAGATCTAAATCTAGATCTAGATGTTGTATTGTTATTGTTGTTGTTTTGTGTTATTATTTACCAGATCTAGCAGAGCCGCAACGTAGGGATCATACTAAATACCACAACTAGATTGACATTAGTGAGTAACAAGTAATTTATTTTAAAATCGCTTGGGGTTTATTTTCGCTTTTCTTCTATTTGCTTTTATCAATTTTTAATTGCCCTGACGTATATTAAAAGTGAATGTACTTATTTGCAATAACTGACCAATTTACCAAGAATTATTAGTAATTTATCATTTTTAACGGGGTCGTTTCGCCGGGAGACTGATTAAATATTGAAGGGAGATGAATTGACGGGACACTTGTGTCTTGTCCGTAATCAAAATGACTGGAGCCTTTTTGTTTTGAACCTTATTATCGGGTGCTTTTTTGTCGTGAGCCAATATGTCTGGAGTCAGTACATGTCGGGAGCTCGATTATCGGAAGCCTTTTTGTCTGTGGCCAATGTGTAGAGGACACTTTGTTTGGAAGCCACATTGTCGCGGGGCTTTTTTCTGGAGTCCTTTTGTCGGAGCTCTTTTGTCCGGGCTATTTTGACTGGGTTATCTAGTTCGGAGTCGATTTATCGGGGTCATTTTTTCACGGGGCTTTTTTAATGCTGATAAATAATATACCGCATAGGATAGCCAGTTTCTGAGCAGTTTACTGATGGACAATGACGTCAAATAATTAATTTCCGCGATTACACATCCCCATTCTTTTCCTATATTATAATTCAATAGTGTGCAACTTTCGACTTATTTTATTGCACAACTCACTAAGAAGCCAAAAGCCCAAACACTCCTGTCCTTTGAAGGAATAATGCATCACAGAACATAATGTTTAGTTGTGTTCTGAAGACAATTTAGTTAGATCTAGGTCAATAGTTCAAGGCAAGTTGTTGTTTCCCCGATTACCAGTTGTGTTTCCGGTATACACACTAGAATCACTAGAAGACCAAAAACGTAAACAACAATTTTTTACCTTAGTTAACTACGATTTTAATTAATATTATTACTAATGGGTTTAATATGGATTGCTCAAATAATTGAAATTCTTTTAGATTCTAGACCTCTACACCATTCTTATGATTCTATGTTTAGATCTGATGATGTGTAATCGTGTAACTAAGTAGTAAGTAGTTACTTCAAGTAGTGTATGTCGAAATCACGAAATGTATTTTTAATTTTTAAGAAGACACATGACGCTGACTCAGATCAGACCAGACTCAGCAGGCAGACAAAAACTTTTTAAACTACTCTGGTTACTAATACTAAGTATTATTAGTATAACTATAACAATTAGATAAAGCAGTTACGTACTACGTAGATCTAGATAATAGATATAATATAGGCTACTATTAATAAAATAATATATAGGCCTACTATCTTCTAGCCTATAGATTATAGATAGTTCACTAGTCTAGAATCTAGATTCTCAAATAAATTAATCACTAGACTAGTCTGTACTGTACAGTAGTAGACTTCAACTAACTTCAAATAGTCAAATGGCTATACTACTAATTATACTATAATATTTAATATAATAATAAATAGTAAATAGGCCCTATGCCCTCTAGACTCTAGTCTATAGTCTATAGTTATGTCATTTATGGCAATTTATGCTAACTTCCTTTCCTAATAAATAATAAATAATGTATTTAGGCCTAGATCTATAATTTAGTTTTAGTATTTATGTTTTCTTAGAAATTTGAAATTAGAATCAATGGATCTTGAATCTTCTAGAATATCTTCAAACTTGATGTGAAGACTAGTCAACTTAAGTCAGTAAACTTGAGTTAAATATTAAGTAATAGGCCTACATAATATTAATAAGTAAGCCTGAAATCTGTGTTAGTTTAGGTAATTATAATTAAGTTAGCGGTGCCCCTATACAAGCGTACATCATATGTCCTATACTATACTGGCCTTTGGCCTAGTACTAGACTAGTGCTATTACTACTATTACTAACTAACTAAAAACTAATATAACTAGGATTATTACTAAAACTAGTACTGTTAGTGTTAGTTGAAAAATGTATAGTATTATGCCTATATTATAAATCTTTAATAATTCGGTCCTTACTTACTTAATGCTTGTCACTCCCTGTTAAGTGGGTTTTGTATTGAAGTATTATGATCAGTAATAATGATAGGCTAGATTTACTAGAATCTATATTATTCATTTATCTATTTATATAAAAAGCAATGTATGTCTGTCTTTATTACATTACTACACCTTTCATCTGATCATGATTCCCTTTTTTTTGTTTCCCTTTTATTTTAAGTTTATTTAAAACTAATATTAATTATTACCAATTTGTATTTTGGAATATGCTGTACTTACTAAATACTTTTCTTTTATCTTGGCAGCATAGCTAGTTTAATACCCACTGTGTGTAGACCCTGCTAATGAGAAAACACCTAAATTAGACTGTAAATTATCATGTTTTAATTTAATTTCTATTTTATTTTAGTGGTATAGAAACCAAAGAAGTATTGCAATGGGAAGCAGTAGCAGTCGTTCACAACCTGGGCAAGTCATATCAGCATCACCCCCGGAAAAAAAACCTGAGGAGCTGTATAATGGCCCAGAAGCACAATATCAGTTTATCAATGTGGAAGTCCAGATGGCAGCAAAAGTGACCATAGGTGCTTTGAATATGGTAACAAGCAATGTTGAAGCTTATTACCCATTATTGGCTGCTCAGTATGAGCAAGGTTTTAGACTGCTGACATTTTATCATATCCCAGGCCAGGTAATAAATATATGTTAATATTTGTTTCCCATCTGTTCAATTTTTTAAAGTGATAGTTCTTTTAAATTACTTTTGTAATCTTCTTTTTTTTAACTTTTATATTTAGTCATGATATTTATCTAATTATTACAAATATATTCTAGTTTGTAAAATAAGTATTTTTTTATTATATTTTTTTTTAATTAGGCCCAAAGAACTGGCGGATTTTTTTCATATGGTGTACTAATGCCATTTCAAGGAATATTTTGTCGATATCCACAAGCACCTAGCGAAGGTAGATTTAGACTTCATATAGAAAAATCCACAATTCAACCACAACTTGTTTGGACTGGTGCTCTCACCAATCGCTCTCAGACTCACACTGATATAAGTCATCTGTTTCAAACTATTGCCAACTGCACTCAGAGTGGAGGTAGATTAATATGTTTAGAATTAACTGGCCAAGAAGAAGTTCATTACTCATTCTCAATGCCTGCAAGGATGCCAGGTAATTGTTTTATATAACTTCCATTTGTAATTTTTAAAATTTCAGGTAATTAACATTAAGTAAGTATGTTGTGTTTGTTTCTTGTAATAAAGGTAAATTTTTTTCACGTTATTCATGTCAGATTTCCAAATATTTTCCTTTGTCATGCTATCATTTATTATTTAGCTAGATTATAAAATTGAGAAATCAAATGTATGTGTTATTCTAAACATTAAAAAAACGCCACAAAGGTAGTTGCTTTCAGTAAAACAAAACAAAAAAAATTTTCAGTCATGTTATTCTAAACATTAAAAAATGCCACAAATGTAGTTGCTTTCAGTAAAACAAAAATTTGTTTTTCAGTCATGGGAGTTGATCTATTTTTTGAAATGCCGCTGGATGGTCCTCAAGAAACCTACATGTACAATATAGTTTCTGTCCCAATAAATGTGACCATCACTGCAGGCTTCAGACCAACCCCAAAAGTGCAGTGTGATTGGGCAGGGGTTATGTCCCAGAATCTTGGAATGGGGTTTAGACTTGTTGAAATATTCATGGATGGCACACAATCCACACAGGTTACATAGAATTAATTTTTGTTTACAACTAGACATTTACATATTAATTCATCCCCATTTGCGGCATATATATTCATTACAATAATTAGAGTTGTAGGTTTTTAAAAAATCATGTAAATAAATTATTTAGTGTAGGACCAAAACAAAGTTCTTAAAAGCTGGCACAAATTTAAAATAGTTATTCATTGTTAAGTTTCATTTTGCTTATTTAATAAATTTTGCTTGTCTGTTAATTCCCCAAATAATTTTAATTACAGAGTTCAGGGTTTACTGGGTATGTACAATCAAACAGTCAGTGGTTTTTTGAAAAACCTGCCTCGCGTGCCAATGACTCGACCCCAATCTATCAGGGAAAAGTTGTGGAACACTTTATAAAGATTTCAACATCTGGATTCTCTGGTATGAAAACAACAACCAACTGGGAACCAGTCATTCAGGTTAGCTATTTGTCTCTAGGACGTACCCCTTGATTTCTGGGTTCATTGTTATTTGGTGGTAGAAATTATAAAGTATTGATTCATTTCTTATCTTTTTTTTAGGAGAACGGTAAAGCTGGTTGGGAGTTGGCGTGTATCCTAGAGACTCCAGAACAGGTCGTCAAAGGCCTAGCAACTATATACATGAAAGTTATTCTCTTTTTTCAGAGGAAAATTTTGTTATAAGGTTTTCTAAAAAAATTTATTTTAGAATAAAATGAAATCACACTCATTTGTTTTAAACCTTAGAGAAAATGTTATTCATTCCTTTGTAAAGGCTCCTTTTTAAAGTATCTATTTTATGAGATTATTTGACATCTTGTGTGCATTTTAATGACCTTTTACATATAAATTGTGAATATGTTAATGTATTTTTCCCACTGTAAAGGTGACTGAAATTATCAGAGAGAAATGACCTTTAATTATCAACTCATTAATAAAAATTAAAGCTGATTAAAAGTTTATTCTGAAACACACTTCTTAAATGATTTGAAATTTTAAGCCTCTCATATTTGGGAATATGTTAACATAAAACTCCAAGTATTTACACTTTATCCTGTATCTGAACTGACATATTTTTCTATGTGCTCAAAAATATTTCCATTCACTTGAAGCATTGATTTATGTATATAAATCTCATTCAGTTTTGTTAACAACTTTCTTTACTTGATATCAGTGAACTTTCTCATATGCAAATAATTGCAGGCATGTATTTGGCAGGGTGGGTGGTTTTGTTTTTACTGCTATTTTTGTTAATCCAAGCACAGTAACAACTACTTTTTTTTTACTATTGCTATTTATTGGTATTTAGATTTCTCCAAATCTCTCAGGATATACATATTAATTTATGCAACCTAATTTTTTTGTTGAGATGTTTTACTATATTCCAGTTATTGTTAAGAACAGCTTACAAGTTGTTAAGGAATGTGAGGGATTTATTCTTTGTCCAATTCTGTCTGTGAATAACATTGTTAAAAACTTAATTCAACTTCAACTTCAATAGTTGAAAATACAATGACCACTAAAAGTTTTACCTTGTTAATGTAAATAGTTTTCATTTTTGTGATACCTATCAACATACAACAGTTTTTTGTGTTGTTTTTACTGAGAAAACTTTCATGTTTTCTATTTCATTTTATACCTATTGAAAAAGTCATATTTATTTTTGTACACTAATTTTTGTTTCAATTTTCAAAAACTAAAAATGTTGCATTAATTATTTTTAATGTATTTACTATTGATTTTCATAATAAAAATCTTAAAAATACGATGTTTTAAGTCAACTACTCCCACATAGTGATGAAAAGTGCCTGCATTTGTCATTTTATAAAAATGGATCTACCAAACTCTTGAACAACTGCTTTCATTTTATCATGGTAAACATTTTTAATGAAGCTGAATCTCTTTATGTATATATTTGACTGTTCTGTTAAAAAATAACTATTAAAATAAATATAGTACTTTTTCTGTATCTTGAGATTTTTCACAATGGCGTGGTAAAAATGTACATAGGCTCCTTGATCACTCTACTACTTGTCGAAATTCCAAAAATTAGGTGACAAAAATCAAGACCTTTTTTCCCTCCAATAAAAATTCCACGCAATATTTTTAAAAGCAGTTCATTTAATTAAGTAATTTAAAAAACAAGTTAGTGATTTGGTTATTGAAATTTGGCACCATTTCTACTTCTTTGTTCTTAATTGTAATTTGTAAAGTTGGAAGAGATTTCCTCGAACACAATAAAGCATTACGTGTCAACATGTTCATGCCCCATATTGTCCGTTGACTCTTGACTTCAGCCTGCTTTTCTTTCTAGATTTGCTTCCATAGCCTTTCTAAACTACAAGGCAGCAGTTGTTTGATTTTAGTTTTCTCACCTAGATGGGTTGCTTTCCCAGAAGTGTTTCTTTCAGGCATCTTTTCGAGGAGGGAGCGCGCCCACCCCCGAAAATATTTACTTAAACCAGTGCCCCCCCCCCCCCCCGGAGAAAAATGTCCGCAAGAAATTCTGGTAGAGAAGTGTAACTGCGGCACCTCCCTCCACCCCGGGTTTCAACGGACACCCCCCCACCCCCACCCCCGGATCATTAAAATGTCTAAAGGAAAGCTGGTTGGGCAAGTGCAATTTCAGTTTCTCCTCAATGGCTCTACAGGACTAAGGTAACTCTTGATAAAAGTGCTTCAACGATCCTTTGTCTCACTGTAAACGTTCACTGAGGTAAACAACGCAGATGTCTGTATAAGGGCATTGTCCACAACAATACATTAGCATAACAAAAGTAGCATCCATTATTTATTAGAATAGGCCTACATAACGAGTTTTAAAAACCAATTCCTTATCTCGTTTTACCAGCACGTAAACCCGTGATTCCCCTAATGCCTTGTTCATAATGCAATAGTTAAATCAGTGTTATATTTTTTTACATAATTTCAACGGCTTAGTGAGTGGGGGGGGGGGGCGGTGGGGGAAATTACCATAAGAAAAGAACAAAAACAACCCCCGACCAGTTGTTGTATCACAGAATACTGTGCGAGTGAACGTATCTCACCAGAACTTCCGCTCTGCTCACCCGCAAATTGCTGTTTTATGGCCTTGACCGTCGTCGTTTATTATCGGCGGGAAGTTGTGGTGGCTTCCTGTTGTTTCGTCGTTCAATTTCCTGACATTAACGGTCACCGTGATAACGTTTTCATGTTGTGAAATCTGTGATCCGTCCCCGCTAGGTGCGGTTTTTGTTACTAGCCAAGTCTGGATGTAAAAATAGAGGTATTTACACGACGGGGTCTTTCATAAATGGTGCCACATTCAGAGTGGCAGGAATTTATTCGGCCCCCGCCCCCGAAAACCGTTTACCGCCCTCCCCCGCCCCGTAAACTTTAGTCCGTCCGTCCCAGAAAATTTCAAGTGCCCCACACCCCTTAAAGAAAAAAGTCTGGATTTTTGCTCCCCCTCTCCACCTTTCCATTGTTATACTTCGTCTCAAAAACGTCCGATACCCCCCCCCCCCCCCAAAGTGGCGTAACACTTCAGATTTACTCCCTTCCTTCATTATTTTTACTTTCTCGTATATACGAAGTATAGAGAAAGTATTGTAATAGTGCAAAAAAAAATCGAGATTTTTGCAAATCTCGACGTTTTACACCTCCCTGAGTCGGAAAAACATAGTTTTGCAATCTTGTCCGTATGTCTCTCTGTGTGTGTGTGTATGTGTGTCTGTGTGTGTAAACACGATAACTTGAGTACCGTTACAGCTAGGTTGATGAAATTTTGTATATAAGTATTTTATCAAAATCGTAGATCCGTATCTACTTTTGAGCGATTTCCGATAACCGGAAATGGTACTTTTTCTACTTTGAATTTTTCAAAAGAGTACTATTTCAGATAGATAAATTATATTTCACATGTAAGTAAAAGATCTAATTCTCTACCTTCTGACAAATTTTGAGTCATTTCCGTTGACCGGAAGTAGTAATTTACGCTATTTCCGATTTCTCAAAAAATGAATGTAAATTTATTAAGTACTAATAATTTTGCGCACTATTATGCACATTTTATATGGCATTCACTTGGTGTGCAATTCTTTGTCCACGAGATTTTATTCTATTTTAAAAGTTTAAGTATTTCAAATGGACTAAAAATCATGTCTATATCCCGAGTTCCCACCCCCTGTTGTTTTATTCGAGAAAGTTTAGGGGAGATTACTCCCGGTTTATTTTTTCTTAAAACAATCATTTATTTCTTGAGCGGGGTCAATGTTGATCTTCTTCTTGTTCGTTCTTAATAGTTTCCAACACAAATAGTTTGAGTATTTCGTGTCAACTGGTTATGAGCCAGATTGGCCGTTGACTTCGATTTCAACCTGATTTTTTTTTTTTTAGATTTACTTCCAAAGCCTTTGCCCAACCAAGAACAAACTACAAGGCAGTATTTGTATGATTTTGGAGTTGTCTCAGAAGAGTTGCTGTCCCCAGCTGTCGAGCCTCATCTGGTTTAGCAGCAATGAGCTTTACCGACTCGACCACCGCCGATCGCATAACGTGGTGAATTCGGCAAGCTCATTACTTGTTTTTTAAGGACAGGCGGGGGGGGGGGGGGGAGCTAAGTGGAAGAATAATATGCCTGCTAATGACGAGTGAAATTTGGCCTAATTTAATCAATTTCCGGTGAATGACAGGAACATATTGAGAAAGCCGATTTCATACATGTACCTCTAGAGTAATGGAGTAAGGAATACAAATAATTTGGGTGAATCGATTAAAACAAAACAACTAACAATGAAAAAAAAAAACCTTCGTAAATGGATTACTCGACCAAATATTTTTTTTTTAAGTCCATTCGATGATTCCGAAGGCACTTTAAAAACACTTACCATCTCTTCTACAGTGGATTATTGATTTTATTTTTCTATAGGAGTATACGACACCACGTGACTATGTCTAGCTGACGAGGTCACCAAAACGTTTATTATTGTTGACCTATCTTTGTACAAGGAAAAAAAATCCGAGCTATTTAAAGAAGGATTTATTGCGTTTATTAGAGCGATTGGCCGATCGATACCTGGCCATTGGTCTCAAGCCACGAATGCGCATGTTAAATATTTGCCCGCCATGCCGCAGGAGAAACATTAAAAGGAACAGATTTTTTGAGCAATGAAAGTACACAACGCTTGAGGCTTAACTCCCTTCAGCACCCGTCGCCGAAAGGGAGATAACTTTTTATTCCCACCAGAAAATTAAAATACGCGAGGGTAATTTAACGACGAGATATACTGTGATACTGCCGATATACTTTTTGTTTACAAAGAAGTCGCAAAAACTTGCTGTATTTAGAAATAGAAACACCAGTGGAATTTTTTATTTATTTCTGAGATATAGGTAAAGAAAAGAAACACAAATAGGTAAGTAAATTGTTTTAGCTTTATTAACTAAAATACATATAAACTTTCACTACCTTTTCAGGGGCTTTTTATTACAAGCTTTTATTTAACTCACTTCCTCTGTCGACAGTCTAGATCAGGGGTCGGCAACCTTTTGAGACGAAAGAGCCAAAAGTTACATATTTACAACATTACCCGGTTTTTAAAGAGCCACTAACTTTTTTATGTCAATGGTATATTTGTTTAGGAATTATATATATATATATATATATATATATATATATATATATATATATATATATATATATATATATATATATATATATATATATATATATATATATATATATAATCCTAAGCAAATATAATACTATATATATAATATAAAATAAATAGCTTTGAAAGTATGAAATAATTTCATTTGAATTTGTGTTGAGAGGATCTACTATGTAAGTCAGAGTATTTGCATTTGTTTTGAATTGCTCAAATTTCTCAGTGAAAACATCCTTCATTTTGTTTATATTAATGCTGAAGTGATTGAATAGTAGCATTGGTTTCATAACGATATTCTTTTCAGACTTTTCGTAATTAAGTAATTTACCGCTCACTATGTATTCAACAAAAAAAGTATTTTTTTTTTCGAAATAAACCACTTCTTCAAAGAAGACATAGGCTGGGTTTTCAGTTTTACACTTAGCTGGTTTAGTTTCTTTGAGATATCCACGATGAAGTTGAATGTTTCAATTCGGAATGGACAATTTAATAGGAAGTACACTGATATAGGGAGTAACTAAATAGAATAGTGAATGTTTTTTGTTTATACCTATTGTTATAGCGTTTATTACCGAGCGTTGTCGACTAATATTTTTATGATTTTTGAAAGTAAAATAAAAGTATTAACATTTGTGCATGGAGCTGAAGAGCCGCAACTGGACACCAAAAGAGCCGCATGCGGCTCGCGAGCCGCAGGTTGCCGACCCCTGGTCTAGATCGAAACGCGCAGGAGTGAAAATTCGGACAGTTCTACTTGACCGATACGATTCACAGTTGGCACGAGGGTCAAGACATGAAGACAATGAAATCTGAAACTAAATTTGACTTAATTGGGTGCCTAATTAATTTTTTATGAATTAATTAAAATTTGGACCGAATTAGTAGGCATGTCTATCCAACCACACCACACGCGTCATCACGTTCAATAGCTGCGCAATCAGGTTCAATAGCTGCGCCATCACGTTCAATAGACGCGCAATGGTTTTTAGTCATGTAACACTATTGTAAATAAAACATGTAAAGTACTGAAAAAAAATTCATTAAAAAACGTTTTAATTACAAGCTTTTATGTACTAATGCACTAAAAAGTAGAAAATAAATTATACACTACTATTTAAATTACTATAAAGAAAAGCGTGGGTCTCTTCTCAAATATTAGTAAAGGTATCCAATAGGTACTAAAGTACTAAAGTGAGCAACGCTTTTCTTTATAGTAATTTAAATAGTAGTGTATAATTTATTTTCTACTTTTTAGTGCATTAGTACATAAAAGCTTGTTATTAAAACGTTTTTAATGAATTTGTTTTACAAGCTTTTATTTAACTCGCTTCCTCTGTCGTCAGTCGTCAGTCTGTCTAGATCGAAACGCCGGAGTGAAAATTCGAACACTTCTACTTGACCGATACGATTCACATTTGGCACGTGGGCCAAGACATGAAGACAATGCAGTCTGAAATTGAATTTGACTTAATTGGATGCCTAGTTAATTTTTTATGAATTAATTAAAATTTGGACCGAATTAGTAGGCATGTCTATCCAACTACACCACACGCGTCATCACGTTCAATGGCTGCGCCATCACGTTCAGTAGCTAGGCGCGCAATGGTTTTTAGTCATGTAACTCTATTGTAAATAAAACATGTAAAGTACTGAAAAAAAATTCATAAAAAACGTTTTAATAACAAGCTTTTATGTAATAATGCACTAAAAAGTAGAAAATAAATTATAGACTACTATTTAAATAACTATAAAGAAAAGCGTGGGCGTCTTCCTTAACATTAGTAAAGGTATCCAATATATACTAAAGTGACCCACGCTTTTCTTTATAGTTATTTAAATAGTAGTCTATAATTTATTTTCTACTTTTTAGTGCATTATTACATAAAAGCTTGTTATTAAAACGTTTTTTTATGAATTTTTTTTGGTGAGTGTAAATAATATCTATAAAAAAAAGTAAATAATATCTATAAAAAAAGTAAATAATATCTATAAAAAAAGTAAATAATATCTATTTCAGCTCTACTTAAAAGCCCCCCCCCCCCCCCCTCAGCCCACCACGCCTGACGCCGATGGGATAAAAATCCCCTGAATCATCATTTAACTACACATTTGCATTTTCATGTGTTTTTTTTTAAATTAAAATTGTAATTAGACGTTTTGTATTAGATCTATGTATAAGTAAACCATCTTAAATGAATGAAAGTAGGGCTACAACTCAAGTAAGAAAGAAGTATTACTATTGTAAATCTGTATCAATCCTCACAAGCCGTTGATGAAAACTGTAATACAAAAGCGAACATGCAAGGCAAACTGACGCTGTAAATTACATGTCTGAGGCGAAAAAAAAATATTTATTTAAACCAAAAAAAATCCAAAAATAAAATAAAAAATAAAATTTTAAAATAACTTTGAAAAAAAAACAAACTCCCAAGTAAGTGCAGGTTGTTGTGTCAGCCACACATATTAGCACGATCAGAACTAATACAATCGATACAGTGGCGTAGGAATGGGGGGTTAGGGGGGGTCATAACCCCCCCCATAGACCCCTCGGTATATATATAAAGTATGAGGGGGGGGGGTGCACATCGAAAGTTTGAGGGGGGTACAAATCGAAAGTCTGAGGGGGGGGTGCAAATCAAAAGTCTGAGGGGGGTGCAAATCGAAAGTCTGAGGGGGGGGGGGGGTGCAAATCGAAAGTCTGAGGGGGAGGGGGGTGCAAATCGAAAGCTTGTCCCCGGGAAAAAATTGCAACCCCCTCCCCCCCTTGAGATGATCCTGGCTACGCCACTGAATCGATAATGTTTTAATGTATTTATACACCAGCAGTGATAGCACGATTGTTTAAGATTAGCTCGTCATGCCTTGTCCTTATCAGGAAATCTGATACGTCGTAGTGTTGACAAGGGCTGTAGATTACTTTACCAGAACCATTCCGCGCATTACTAGTTCTAAAATATGCTCTACAAGAATTATCCCCCTTATTACTGATTCTCACTACTAGTTCTAAAATATGCTCTACAAGAATTATACCCCTTATTACTGATTCTTATTACTGATTCTCGTTACTAGTTCTAAAATATGGTCTACAAGAATTATTCCCATTATTACTAACTCTGAAAATGTGGTCTACAGGAATTATTCCCGCATTTCTAGTTCTAAAATAAGGTCTACAGAACCATTCCCCTCATTACTAGTTATAACATAATGATTTACAACAACCATTCCCCTAATTAATTACTAGTTCTAAAATATGGCCTACAGGAATTATTCCCTCATTTCTAGTTCTAAAGTATGGTTTACAAGAAACACTGCCGTTATTACTAGATTCTAGTTCGAAAATATAGTCTACACGAATTATTCCCTTATTACTAGTTCTGAAAATATGGTCTACAGGATTTTTTAAATTCCCCTCATAGCGAACTCTAAAAATATGTTTTTGTTTAAAAAGATTGTTTTTATGTTTTTGCAGGGCTTTTTTAAATTATCCAAGTATGTTTTTAGAAGCCTGTGAAGTCTAAACAACACAATTTAGTAGGTTTCTTTTGCATATCTTTCTCCCGTTTATATCACTACCTCTTTGGCGTATTACAAAGCCATTAGCCATTGTTTTTTCGTTAGCTTACTAAACCATGCGTTTATTGTCCCCCACCCCCTTTCCGCACCAAAGAAGAAAAAAAATTAATACTAATAGTTTCGCTGTCTGTCTGTCTATCTATCTATCTATCTGACAAGAACGCTGTAGAGAAAACACAAGCAAAATAAAAACATGCAAAGTAATTCGAAAAACGAAGTATGGCGCGGTCACATTTAGCATAGAGTAGAAAATAATCTCACGCCGGAGAGTGCACACAGTAATATGACGTCATTGATTCTAGAGTAAACATTGAATAAAAAGGAAATTTTGCCTAATCTAAATGGTTTGCGTGAAGAGTTTCTTGCATACAATTCTTCGGGTAGGGGCGAAGCCCCACCCCCCGCGTAAGAACGTCTGAGCCCCCCCCCTCCCCAACTCAAAAGAAATTTCTTCATCGATACTCTATAATAAAATTACCGCCTAATTAATGTGTCTCATCTAAAAAGTGGTTTTCTTGCAATTTCTTTAATGCAATTCTTCGGGTAGTGGCTAAGCGCGACACCAGTGTTTCTTTCAGACTTTTTCCTCCCCGGAGAGGGGTGGGGGTACTTGAAATTTTCGGGGGCGGGGGTAGAATTGTCGGGGAGGGGGCGGACACTGGAAAAAGTATATAATTATATTTCGTTGAATGGGACGGTAGACATGTTTTTTTGGGGGGTGGAGGGGGGGGGGTGGGGTGGGGGGGGGTGGTGTGTGGGGGGGGGTGGGGTGGGGGGGGTGGGGGTGGCGTGTGGGGGGGTGGGTTGGTTTTAGTTTAGAGAAAAGAGACAGCACTATCAGCCTAGCGCCCGTTGTACCCTTCCTCAACGGGCCATTTTTCTCGTGAAATAATATTTGTCCAAAGTCTCAAACAAAATATCTAGTTTTTTAAAGCCTATGAGCTGTCCTTAAAATTTGACGTAGAAGGATTAAAACAAGGCTAGTATTGGGCATTAATTAATAATAGGCACCAATAGATAACCAGCATTAATGAGTAATAGGCACTTATCCTACTATCTTCGTTCTGAAGCGTAGTATTGGAGGGGATTTCTTCCAACACAATACAAAAATAACAAGTCAACATAATATTATGGTCTGTTGACTGCCATTTCAGCCTTTCCATAGCCTTTGTTTACGCAACAACATAAGCTAGACAGCAGTTGTTTGATTGTGGAGTTTTCTGTCTAGATGGGTTGCTGTGTTAGTTCATTTGTAAGATTTTCTAATTATGAACATTTAAAGCGACAGGAGCGCCTACTGTTGTCTAATGCTTAACTAATGTTTGCTTGGTAATCCTTGTGAAGAGGTGGGGCGGGTTGAGATGGGGGGGGGGTTATAACCCTCAAAAATCTAAAACTCTTCTGCCTACTCCACTAATTCAGACTAATTGAGACCAACCGTTTTGTGAAACTGTACTGTAGAAAACCTTAAGGACCTATAAAAAACAACTCAAATTAGGTCTAAAAAAAAACATGCGGTATTTATAACTCGATGTAAACTAATTGCTTGTTGCTTAATGCTGTTTGAATACCAATGCAAAAAAACGTGTTCACGCTTCACTGCTCCTGATTGCTTTCGTCTGTCAACGTCATCCCTATTCTAGCGAATGCTCCAGAAAAAGAATGATACAGAAAGAATTGCGCGGACGGCTGAAATCAATAGTTTAACCAGTACTGTGGCCAGATTTTTTACCATGTTAAGTCCAAAAATAATTTCCCCAGTAATAAAGCCAACGGGTAATTAATGAACAAGGTGAATGAGTAGTTCACTTATTTTTTAAATTTAAAATCGATCTAGCATTTGTAACGTGTGTAGTACCGATACTCTAATGAAGGGGATTGGTGGCACGTCCATTATATGGAAAAAGTGGGTGGGGGCTTTAGTGAATTATTTTATGCCAGTTATGGGGATTGGGAGTAAAGTAAAGCGATATTGGATATATTTTGTGTCTCATTAGGGATAAACTTAGTGAAAAGCATGTAGGCTACATTATTGTTTGAAAAATATTTTAAGACGGAGGGTTGACAGTCTGTGGCGCAAGTTTAGGGACTTATGCTAGACGTGTCATGGCTAATTTTCTGCTTGTATCGACATGTGTTGTACATCCTGTTACCAGTGTTGCGAATCGTACTTGCCAGATCAAAATAGGTAAAAGATTGCCAGAAAATCTTCTGAATGTTAGTGATCAATTCCAAATCAATCAAATAATTTACGAACGTCGTTTTTCATCACGTGTGTTCAGAGTTGAAAATTGTTTGATCGCAAAGAAAATTTAAGTTGTGGGAGTTAAACAGAAAATAATATTAAATATTAACGCTAAGATTATAAAAAAAATACAGCACACTAAAGACACTATTTGAGTAATATTGAATATTAATGCGCATTAATGTACCTACTGCACAATATGATAATCAGAGTTTCTTCCAGGCATCTCTTCGGGGGGGCTTAGCCCCCCCCCCCCCCCCCGAAATTTTTTTTACCGCCCCCCCCCCCCCCCCAACGAAATGAAATTTATATAATTTATATAGAAAATATTTACTTTTAACAGTGTCCGCCTCCCCCCCCCCTAAGAAAGTCTACTGCCCCCCCCCCCCTAAGAAAGTCTACTGCCCCCCCCCTAAGAAAGTCTACTGCCCCCCCCCCCGAGAAAAAAGTCTGGAAGAAACACTGATGATAATATAGTTGATCCGTTTCTTTGACTTGGCCTATGAAGCCTTGAAAGGGTTGTGTGGTTGACCTTGACGTTGGCTTGATTTAGTAATGGGGGAGGGGGTCAGTTTTGTATTTTGAAATTGAGAGCCAAATGATGTAGCTTTACGAGAGATATATCCCCACCAACACCCCCCTGCCTAGAAGCCTAGTCCGGTACCATTAGAGATGAGTCGCGACCTGCTGACCAGTGGCGTAGCCAGGATCATCTCATGGGGGGGGTTCAATTTTTTTCCCGCATTATAAATGTATATATCAGAGCGTAGCGTCCCTCCCCGGCCCCCGAGGACAAACTTTTGATTTGCACCCCCCCCCCTCAAACTTTTCATTGCACCCCCCTCTTCAAACTTTTCATTTGCACCCCCCCCTCAAACGTTTCATTTGCACCCCCCCCCTCAGACTTTCGATTTTGCACTCCCCACTCAACCTTTATGTATCTACCGAGGGGTCTATGGGGAGGGGGGTTCTGACCCCCTAACCCCCCCCCCCCTGCCTACGCCACTGCTGCTGACTGTTTTAACCATTTACCATCAACTATTTTACAACTACATTTCGCTAATTTCTTTCTCTGATAGGCCAAGAGAACCAACCAGCCTCAACTTACACAACGATTTCATGTGCCCAAGCACTGTGTAACGATGACCACGCTTTAGAGAACGTAAGTGTCGGAAATTTCACATCTGCCAGAATGTGAAATGTCAAGCGGACCCCACACAACAAGTGTCGAGAAGGAATACAACAAAATGACCAAACACCTAATAAAATAAAAAGTCATAAAGAGTTTCAAGATGACCCCATATTTCAGAATGTAAATGTCAAGATGACTCAACACGCAAGACAACAAGTGTCAAGAAAGTGACAAGGTGACCCTTATACAATAAAATGGCTCCCGGAGTGTAAGCGGCAAAATGATCCCATTTACGTTGATCCACTACATTTTGATCGGAGTCAGCTGTTTCCTGTTGGTCTCCTTCATAGCTGGACTAGTCTACCTGTTGTTCAGGGAAAAACAGAAAGGCGCTCAGGCAAGGAAGGAATATCTGAGAGTGAGTTACAATTTTTTTTTAAATATTTGAAACTCGACTTGGTTAAGGAAATAAATAGTGCAATGTATTTTGGACGACTCTACTCTAAAGTTTATCATGATGTAAGAATGTTGTATAGTCCACTTTGTAGGCCTACGCGGTAACTTAGCTTATGCAATATTCCAAATATTTTTTTTTACAAACCGTCATGAAATACTGTTTTAAATTGATCGTTACTTTAAGTAAACAAACTGAAATGCCTCCACGTATTTTCAAACGGTAACTTATGCTTCAGCGAAATTCTAGATAAATATTTTGAGCTGTTCAGCCTCTTTGTTTTTGTAAACTATGTTTTTACCCGACAGAGTTGTGTGAAAACACAGTTTTACCTGAGTTGGGATAGTGAAAGATCACACAGTTAACTTTAAATGTTTAGTGGGGTTTTTTTTTTAATTTATACTAACACCACTCAAACCATACTGTGCACATCAAGTAAGGCATAGTGCGTGATCTAACACCATTACAACTGTACTGTACACAATGTGTAGTTTAACGCCATTAAAGGTAGGCTATACTGTACACATTTAGTGATGTGTAGTCTAACATCATCAGTGTTTCTTTCAGACTTTTTTCTCCTGGGGGGGGGGGGGGGGGGAGTCACTTAAAATTTTCGGGGGTGGGGGGCGGACTAAAATTTCCGGGGGGTGGGGGGGCGGACACTGTTAAAAGTATATATTTTCTATATAAATTCTATTTCGTTCTGGGGGTGGGGGCGGTAGACTGGAAGAAACTCTGAACACCATTACAGCTGTGATGTACACATTAGGTGGCGTGTAGTCTAACACCATTAAAGCTATGATGTACACATTAGGTGGCGTGTAGTCTAACACCATTAAAGCTATGATGTACACATTAGGTGGCGTGTAGTCTAACACCATTACAGCTATGATGTACACATTAGGTGGCGTGTAGTCTAACACCATTAAAGCTATACCATATTTGTCTCCCAACACCAGACGCTGCTACAAAGAAGACGGAAGGCGATTAGCGGCAGGCCGCGAGGTCCGACCAGCTCTTTCTCCTACGACAGCACAGAAGAGTGGAACATGCCCGGCGCGACCCAGCGGAAGCAGGAGCTAGTTCCAGTCTCGACCCAAATCTCAGGACCCCAGACAGTCCAGCTCCCAGAAAAACCTTCGCCCCAATTCTCAACGGACATTTTAGACTTGCACATTGTGCATACTGCAGAAACACAACTGTCAGATAATTTGTAACAATTTGTTAACAATCTCAGAAAGAATAGCCAAGATGGATACGCTGACTTCAGCTGGTAAAAGACAAGTTGTAGTTCAGAGAGAATAGCTTGTTGATCGCGTTAATTTGTCGGTACTGCACCGTTGGTACTCTCGTAGTTGGTACTCTGGAGAAGTACCTCGAGTGATCTTGATGAAAGTACTTCCCAACTTTAGAAAGTGCTCTTAAAAGTAAGAAATATTTATGTTTGCAAGCGCTTAGTGGTGTGCATTGTACATAGATGATAATCGATTTATTTAAAGAATCGATATGCCCACCTGACAAATAAAATACCAAAGTACTTTATAACTATATTTTCGATTGATATGAATCGATCTACAAAGCTACCATGCAAAGTATATCTTACCATTTCATTTTTAACTGCTAGCCTTGATGACCCTAACTTTTGTTTACCATATCAATGGACTGGGTATATCTTCACCTACATAGGTCAAGTACGCCAAAGATTGCCTTCAACAACTTCATAATTCTTTATTTCCACGTACAGTATTTGTATTATTAAATGTTTTATACAGAACTGAGAAGGTTTTTTTATATTGGTTTACTTGTATAAACTCGAAACACAATGGCTTTTTGTTGAAATAGAAAGCATGCGCGAATGTTGAAATAATTTCCTTAGTCAGTGTGTTTGTGTTTATATATTAGTTTTTAGTTTCTGAATTAAAAGTTGTATTGCTTGCTTGTCTCAACACTGCGTGGTCCGCTGATACTGTTGTTGTTTTTCTTTATATCGCAACCCTGATCCTAAGTTTTTTGACCTAAGTCAAGGACGTCGGGCTTTAAAGATGGGAGGAAGTGGGGTGGGGGGTGGAAATTCATGACATCGCGTAGAGAGGACCGGACCAGCAGAGTTTCTTCCAGGCATCTCTTCGGGGGCCCCCCCCCCCCCCGAAAATTTTTATACCGCCCCCCCCCCCCCCCCCCCCGAACGAAATGAAATTTATATAATTTATATAGAAAATATATACTTTTAACAGTGTCCGCCCCCCCCCCCGAAGAAAGTTTACCGCCCCCCCCCCCCCGAAAATTTCAAGTGCCCCCCCCCCCCCCCCGGAGAAAAAAGTCTGGAAGAAACACTGCGGACCAGTGAGGAAAGATTGGAGTGGGGGGGGGGGGGTGAGGCGGTACTCCACTACGTAGAGATGACGGACCAGTGGAAAAAGGTTGGACGTCATTGATGAACGACTCTAAACAGGACAAATATAATAAGTATATAATGTTCTTCTGTAGTTTTTATAAATAATTTGATCCTAAAATATTTTAGGCGTTAATTCATACATGTAAAACTGTAGATTTTGTGGAGACTTCAGAGTAGTTTCCGTACCGCAATTTTAGAGCGATGTTTTGTGGTACAAAAATCATCGAACTTCCATGTAAAATACTAGATCTCTAATTACTACCTTCTAAAATTGTATAAATTATTATTATTATTTTTATTTCAATATACAAATGGGATAAATGTTGTTTAAATCATTAACACTGGCGCCTGCAGGCGATGAGGATTTTAAAGGAATATTCGGCCTTGCTTATGTTCCACCTGAAAGGTCTAAAAATAAGAATGGGAAAAAACATGAAAAGGGAAGTAATCAAGATTTTAAATTGGACGACAAAATGATATTTGAATGGCCTTTCACCCGCTTAACTAAGATGTTGCATGTTTAAAAAAATTTCTTAATTTAAAAAAACATTATAAAAAGCCGAATGATTTCATCGTCTTTATTTCATATGTATTTCTTTGTATATTAACTTTACTATTTAGCATTATACTATGTTCTCTGCTACAAAGGCTTCAAAAATGTTGAATTGATACTTATCCAGTTCAGAATAGCTTAGGGTACTATTTTATTTAAAATTGATAGTTATCGCTGCTTCGATTGATCGGAACGTAAGTTATTTTTTTTAAATTATTTCTACTGACGTTACGAGATGACATCACAATCTGTTTACGAACACGTTCATATCTTTGAGGGTGCCGTGGAGGCTCTGAACGAAGAGCTGGGAGCTGGTGCTTCTCACCTCCTTCCAGGAGCTGACGTTGAATATAATCTTGGTGTTGGCTATCGTGTACCCTACCCCGTAGCCCACGGTGGACTGGGGGAGGACCACAGCGCAGCCCGTGGAGCCCACGGCGACGCACTCGCAGTAGATGTCGTACACCTCGACGCCCTCCACCAGCTTGTCTTTAGAAAACAGCTCGGGCTGGGTCGGGTACAAGTCGGCGGCCATGACCTTCAAGCCGGCCAGGTGTGACCCGAACCCCATCCCGGAGCAGCACTCTCGCAGTAGGTCCCGGTGCTTTTTCTCGGCCCTCCAAAAACTGAGCCGTTGGTCGATGAAGTTGGCTTTTTTGTCCATCATTATCTGACAGAACTGCACGACGTCGGGGTTGGTACTTCTCAGGATCTCGTGGCCCCCGTGGTAAAAACGCTTGAGGCTCACCCTCGAGCCGACGGAGGCTGACTTGTGGTACATTTTAAAAAACGTTAAGTGGATCAACAGATGCGCGAAAGCATCGGTGTTGATATTTTTAATTTGAAAAATATCGCGATCGTATTCGTCAAACTTACAGGTCGCTGTTTCTACGGACGCGGAAAGATTCGCGAAACTCACCGACGCCTTGTTGATACTTTTTTCAATGATGTCGTCAATGTAGAACTCCAAGAGATAGATGGTCTGTTCGTCATCCATCTCAGCTGGTGAGTATCGATGCTTTGTTTTCGAGTCCCACGCCTCTTGTATCTCGTTCATCCTGACCGAAAGCTGGATACCGAGATTGTCAAACACAGCGCTGGCCGAGGGGATGGCACTCGCCAGGGCTGACCTGCTCATGGCCACGACCACGTCGTCGTCCCATTTCTCCGTGTCCTCCAAGATCCTGAGGTGGATGTAGTGCAGCAGGATAGCGACAACCGGGCCGTCGACGAGAGAGTTGTTGACGTTGACCGTGACGATGCCGTTGCCGTAGACGTAGAAGCTTAAACTTTTATCGTACCAGCGGTTGCAGCCGTCACCGAACACAGACTCGTGAGGAAGCAGGTCAGAGTTCACCGCGTGCAGGTCTTCGAGACTTATAACAAACATGGCTTCTTCTATCTCGTACAGGCACGCCTCGTTTACGGTGCTTATATTCATAAGATGAGCTCTAGCTGCGCACCACTCGTCTCTATTCATTGAGGTTAAAACACCTAAACCAAAACTGTCTTTGATAACGCCTTCGTCCACACATCTTTTTAACTCGCGGAGGTATTTCTTAATAATGTTTGTGCGCATCGGTTTATAATTGACATCTACCACCTCCAGTTTAAATATATGCCCGTTGTAGATGACGATGATGTGCCGGGGCGTTTCCTCGTCTTCTGATGATGTTTTAAAGAAATGGTAGGCCTTATCGCACGGCTGGCCAGGAATTTTCACCGAGGAGAACAATTTCCGGAACTTGTGCATGCACATCGTGTGGCCGTTACCATCCGATATCGGCTCCAGATCTTCATTTCTCAACAGCATCCAAAACTCGGTGGCTAAGGAGATGATATACGCAGCCCTGTCTATTTGCGAATCGTTGCGTTCTGGCCAGAGGTCGTGTAGAAATGGGGCTATGATCGCTGTGTTAAAGTAAGGAGCCCCTTGCCTGTTGTAGCACCCGGTGTAATTTGGAAGAACCGCTGAGATCCAATTTTTTAAAGTCTCCGCTTTATTCACAAGCGCCTTCTGGCATTCTTTGCCCTCCTTCGCGGCAAAAGAATCGGCAATCTGTTTCAAGTGCTTGTACTCTGCAGTTTTAACGCAGGGTTGCGACGCTTGAAGAAACCTAGACAGTGAGTACTTCAGGTCGGGAACACGCAGCATAGGAAGACGGGATTGTTCCGCGAAGGTGCACGGGGTTTCCTTAGAAGTCTTGTACAGCGCGTGGGCTCTGACATCCGGCTCCAGCCAAGGCCAAGGCCACAGCTGCTCTATGATGAAGGACGAAGACATGGCGACATTAGCCATTCGGGAGTTGACTGGGTACTGCAGGCGACGCTCAGCGGGGAGCTCGTGTCGGGACTTCTCAGACCTGGACACGTGTTTAAGGTTTCCTTCAAAAACGATACTCAGCTCCCCGGACTCTACCCCATCTCTCCCCATCTCCGAGCCTGACGGCAGGTCACTCAGCAAAGAGTTAAACGAGAGCAGCACCAGAGGGTCGCTGTTGTCCAGGCAGTATTTCACAGCTTCCTTTGTCAAAAATTTCGTCGCGGACGTTTGCTTCAAAAGGCGTTTTTTGTTTTCTTCTTTCTCTTTGATCTCCTTCTCGTCGATATTAAAGATGACCCTTTTACCGAAAAACGTCGTCGATTGGTTTGCGATGGAGAGGCGCGGCAGGAAAATATCTTTAGTCGTCAGCTCCGAATCTTCCCGTGCTCTTTGTTGTTCATCGGCAAGGGATTTTCGAAGGAAGGATTGTATGTCGCCGACATCGAAAGGCACCCCGTCTAAAAGGCGAGTTGAGAACTTGCGCTGGTTGTGGCGTGGGGGGAACATGGTGCTCTGTAGAGGCGAGACCTCCATTGCTATTATGATGGCTAATGGACACGGCTGCAAACAAACAATAATAATAATAATAATCTATCTGTATTTATAATTCTCTTCAAGGTGACCATAGAAAACACCTAGCTGTAAGCGCGCCTAGCAGCCCCTTCTCTTACTTTCTAGGCATATCCCTACCAACCCCACCCCCACATGGTCTGGTGAGCTGTGGTTCACGCTAAATGTTTACAATCGTAGAGCCGGGTTTAGTGACGGCTATTCGTGGCAGATAATTTAGCTTGAAACTATTTTAAACTTAAGGAGGTAACTAAGAGGAGGCTGCTTTCACGGGGGGGGGGGGGGGGATGTAGGGTAGGGGTTGGGGGAAAGGAGGGTGAGGGAGGGGGGTTATCGTCCTTAACGACCTACTAATAGTGTTTTAAAGCAAATATTTTCAGTGGCAGCATTGGTACTATCGAATTCACAAATTATGAATTACTGAAAAGTAGAAATTAAAACAACAAAATAGCGGCATATGATACGCCGCGGGTCGGCTCGTAATAGTAATAATATAGTAATAATGATAACCGTAACGTTGACGATAATAATGATGATAATTGTATTCATGTAGGGTGGTCAAGTTGGCAAAGCTCATGGTTGCTAAACCAAAAAGTCTCGAGTTCAAACCCTCGGGTAGATGAGGCTCGTTAGCTGGGAACAGCCACTCCTCTGTGAGAGACAACTCCAAAATCAAACAACTGCTGCCTTGTAGTTTTCTCTTCGGAGTCAACGGCCTATATGGCGCAAAACCAGTTGACACGTATACTCAATTGGATCCACCCCAACACTAAAATTAAGAACGAAGTAGAAGAAGAGTGCGATGTAAATTTGTTTTTCGAACATCTATATATATAATTCTCCTCTGCGAGCCATTAGAAAACAAGCTGCAAGCGCCTCCTTACAGTCCCCTCTCTTTCTCTCTATCACTATCACTACCACCCTACCCCACCCCCACATGGTCTGCTGAGCTGTGGTCACGTTAATGTTTACAAACCGTACAGCCAGGTTTAGTGACGGCTATTAGGGGCAGATAATTTAGTTTGAACCGACTTTAAACTTACAGGAGGTAACTAAGAGGAGGCTGCTTTCACGGGGGGGGGGGGTGTAGGGTCGGGGTTAGGGGAAAGGAGGGGGGTTAGTGTTTTAAAGCAAATATTTTCAGTGGCAGCATTGGTACTGTCGAATTCACAAATTATGAATTACTGAAAAGTAGAAAATAAATCAACTAAATAGCGGCGTATGATACGCCGCGGGTCGGCTCGTTTATAATATTCTAGTTATTAAAAGACATTAGGTTGAACAATGGCGGAATGTCGTTTCAAATTTGATAGACATAAAATTTAAAGTAGATTGAAAACACTCAATTGGATACAATTTAGACAGAAACAGTACGCGATGGGACAGCGTAGTCTAGAGGTAGATCACGAGATTGCTAACTAAGGCTTCTAGCAGGCATTTTTCTCTGAGTGTGGGGGTTGGGGCTTGGAACTTCATAAAGGAGTGGGAGAGGCGTATCATGTAGACAAGGGTATTTTCTATATAAAATGTAATATTTGTTTATATTTTTGCGGGGGGGGGGGGGGGGGGTTAGGGGCAGTGACTAACGAGCCTCATCTGCCCGGGGGTTCGAACTCGGGGAATTCAGGTTAGCAACAAGTTCCCGCTGGAGCACGTCCACCGCCATAAGCTATCCTAAGGACTGTTCTGCTCTAGTCTAGGTGTGATAGCTCCGGAGTCAATCTGACCCCTACACCCAATCTATCAATTTAGCATTAGCACATATGATTAGCCTTTATCGAATTTTTTCATAGATTGGATCTAGATTCTAGATCTAGATTCTAGATCTATTTCTAAATCTATTATTTAAAACATTATAGATTACTTTTATTTTCAATGTTATTTGTCAGTAAACACGCCTTTTTATACTTGCATACATGAGCTATAATTAAAGTTATATACCATATATTATTATCGATCTATTTCTTTTTAATGATGCAACTAAAGTTAAAGAAAAAAAAGAAGAGTACATACTCAGGCCTACATAGAATTTAATACTTTCATTATTGAAATCACAGTTCAACTCTAGTGCTAAATGGTGCTTGTGTCGGATTTCTCTCTCATAGTTAATCGGTAAATCTCTACTAATTCAAAGATCTTTAATTAAGTCTAGTAGATCACAGATGATATAAAAGATATAAAACGTACATAAATAAACCGGGAGTGATCTCCCCTAAACTTTCTCGAATATTCTTATATAAAATAACAGGGGATGGAAACTCGGGCTATAGACATGATTTTTAATCCATTTTAAATACTTAAAGTTTTAAAAATAGAATAAAATCTCGTAGACAAATTAATTGCACACCAAGTGAACGCAAATAAAAAAAGCGCATAATAGTGCGCAATATTATTAGTACTTTTAAAATTTACATTAGTTTTTTGAGAAATCGGAAGTAGCGTAAATTACTACTTCCAGTCAACGGAAATTACTCAAAATTTAACAGAAGGTAGAGAATTAGATCTTTTACTTACATGTGAAATTTCATTTATCTATCTGAAATAGTACTCAAGTTATAGGCTTTTAAAAAATTCAAAGTAGGAAAAGTACCACTTCCGGTTATCGGAAATCGCTCAAAAGTTGATACGGATCTACGATTTTGATAAAATACTTATATATGAAATTTCATCAACCTAGCTGTAACGGTACTCAAGTTATCGTGTTTACACACGGACAGACACACACACAGACACACACACACACACAGACATACGGACAAGATTGCAAAATTATGTTTTTCCGTATCAGTGAGGTGTAAAACGTCGAGATTTGTAAAAATCTCGATTTTTTTTTGCACGATTACAATACTTTCTCTATACTACGTATATACGAGAAAGTAAAAACGGGATCTGCGAAATTCCCGGCAGATGATGCTCGATTGCACGGGACAGCAACCCATATAAGCAGAAAACTCCAAATTCGGAGTCAACGGCTCACAACTCTGCACAACTATACACGCACTATTTAACGAAGAAGAAGTGCATTAAAAAAAACCAAGAAAATGCCATTGAATAGTCGGGTTTTTAATGGAATCATTTAAATCACTTAATCACTGTGGGCATTTAATATGGTGTTGTGTTGAGTAATAATGTATTTAATATGGTTTAAATTTTTCTAATAGTTATTGGTTGCCTATGTGTCGGGTTTTTAGCTATTTAGTTATTTCTTTGCTTTGTCAATAATAACTTTTAACGTGTAGTAAAGCTCATTGCGTTTTTGACCTATAACTATTTAAAAAACTTATTTATCTTAAACAAGTATTTAAAACAATAAAAATATTTAGGCCTGTAGTTCTCGTGTAACGGGTACCGATGGCTAGTATATTATAGGCCTAGGAGGTTAAAATCCCATTAATTCTCTTAATTGATTCGTTAAAATTGAATCGTAATTTTAACGTTGTCATTAAAATATTTCCGTTTCCTACTTTAGCTCTTCCTTTTACTAAAGCCTCAATCATGGCTACCCAACTATCGAAAAAGAGAAAGGTAAATATTACTAAAGCAATATGTTTATTAAGTTTAAAAATTGCAATAACATTTTTAAATGACTTACCAGTAGATGTTTGATTAGCCTTTTACTTATTTAATTCAATTTTTAATTGGATTACTTTGATATTTTGGGATACTGGCATCGGAAAGTAGCATATCGAATTTAGGTTATTGTATGTCGGTTTTTCCCCTTATTTTAACGTTCCCTGTTTATTAGATTTATCATTTCGTTGTATGTTCTGAATAGTATCTTTTAAGATTCTGTGGTGAATTCAGTGATAACGTATTTGTCTCATTACACATTTAGAAATAACAGTTGCTTCTTTAGATAAAAATGGGGTAAAATCACGATATAGCGTCGGAAATTATTGGGTAATGTTCGTTGAGTTTCGGTAACATTCGTTACTGTAAACCATAGTTTATTTGACCGGTGAAATAAAAATAAAGTCAAGTGCATTAAATTAATGTTTTAACTTCATTTACAGTTTAATTGACAGAAAATTAATAACAGATAGAAAATCTAAATATTATTAATAAACTCGAGTGTAGTAATTAATTTTTTTTTTTAAGAAACAGAAAAAACCTGCAGAAGATTTGCGACAACCAGCTCTTGTTCTGTTAGTAAATAAGACGATTAGATTAACTAAAGTTAAAAGTAGTAAGAATAAATAGAATAATGTTTAGTAGCAGCAATAATTAGCACATACACTTAAAATAATTAGAAATACAAAATAATTAGCAAAACAGTATTTAAAATGCAACTAAAATCAATCCTTGCACATTTTTAAACATTATGTATTAAAAATAATATGGCGGCAAATAAATGATGGTTTACAGTATTTCCGGTGGTTTCCGGAACGGCTCGACAGACTACGCCATGGTTTTACTGTTTTTTACTGCTGTACAGTTCCGGAATAATAACCGACGCTATATCGTGATTTTACCAAAAATGGTTCTAAAAATCTAAACCTTGCAATTTTTTTTTTAAGTTTGTTACAGATGGAATTTTTAAAGCTGAGTTGAACGAGTTTCTGACTCGTGAACTAGCTGAAGATGGTTACAGTGGTGTAGAGGTTCGTGTGACACCAACCCGTACTGAAATTATCATCCTTGCAACTCGTACACAAAATGTATTGGGTGAAAAAGGGCGTAGAATCAGAGAACTTACATCTGTTGTGCAGAAGAGATTTGGATTTCCAGAGGGCACAGTAGAGGTATGTCTGCTTGTTATGTATGTTTCACCCTGTTGTGTGTTTTGGCTCCATTCATTGATCTGTTATTTTTTCCTTTAAACATTGCTATTTTAAGGATTTAGAAAAGGATGGTTGGGTTTTTGTGCTAATTCATGACAAATGGGATTTTAAAAATTCATTTGTTGCATCCAAAGTATAGGTACTTCTAACTTTACCTCTTCCATATATTTTAGTTGTATGCAGAGAAAGTTGCTACCCGTGGTCTTTGCGCAATAGCCCAGTGTGAATCCCTCAGATATAAATTGATTGGTGGCTTAGCTGTAAGGAGGTGAGTATCGGCTACATGTAGATGGTGGCCAGACACAATTTTGTTTTGAGTATCTAATTCTAAACCATTTGTTAGTGGTGAGGTATAGTTTTCCCTGATGCGAAATTTATTATATTTAAGCTAATAATATAGGAAGTTAGATGTGTTATCAGTGGAAAGATAGCATAACAATTGTTAGAGTTGCAAAAGAAATGATCCGCCTAAAGGTCTATAAATCTCACATTTGGAATGATGCTGAATTAACTTTTTCCACAATTCAGGTTTAGGTTGACGTTTTTTTTTTATTAATCTTCTTTCGGCAATTTTTTAATATATCTATGGTGGTTTTTTAAATATAATTCAGAGCTTGCTATGGTGTACTGCGATTTATCATGGAATCTGGAGCCAAGGGCTGTGAAGTAGTTGTATCTGGAAAATTGAGAGGTCAGAGAGCTAAATCCATGAAGTTTACTGATGGACTTATGATTCACAGTGGTGAGCCACTGAATGATTATGTCGACACTGCTGTCAGGCATGTGCTACTCAGACAAGGTATATAATTTTTTTTAAACTATTATTTTCCCATGTGCCTCAAATTTTTCTTAGTGGTACTGATACCACCAAACTATCGATAGTTGATTTATGTCAAGTAGTGAAGTCTAATTAATTACATGTGGGAGCAAGGAATATTTTTTTCCGTTGTTAAAACAAGATGATTTATGTTAGTAAAGTTTAATTACTCGGTTTGATGACTGGTTTTGTTTCCAGGCACATCATTGATGACTGCACTTTTTAAAGCATTTTAAATGTAATGAAACTTATAGTGGGCTTTTTCCATGTTAAAACATTTTTTAAAAAGGTGATACACACCAATTAAGTGGCTGCATTTGTTAATTTCTACCGTGTCTCATCAGGTGTCTTGGGTATCAAAGTTAAAATTATGCTGCCATGGGACCCAAGTGGCAAAATCGGACCACGTCGTCCTCTTCCTGATCATGTTAGCATTGTAGAGCCTAAAGAAGAGACTGCACCTGCATCACCCTACAGTGAACCCAAAGGAGGCAAGACTACAGATGCTCCTTCTGTTGCTGCCATTGGGACAGTACCTTCTTAGTGAATGGTAAGCAATTCTCAAAGCTATTTATTTTATGTGGTTGGTTTAAATAGCTGGTTTATTTATTATTTTTTTTAAAAATAGAGTAGTGCACAACTAGATCTAGGTCAAGATTATGTATTAGTTGCCACTCAATTCAAACGGAAGGTGGAATACATGCATTTTTTTTTTCAATTGGCTGTTTAACTGGTTTCCGACAGTACTAGATATGCACATGTTTTTTTTTTTTCGTTTCTGTATTCGCAAAGTTTTAGTTTGATGTTTCAGCCATTTTCAGTTAAATATTTTAGGAATAGTATACAGTTCAGGGGTATTCTGGAAATCCATATTCTGTACTTTTTTTTAAACAGCTAATCTCCAATGCATGTTGGCCAACTATAATTTTTTTTCTTGTTTTTTAATTTAACCCATTTTTAAAGCTACTTTCTTAAGTATTACTCTGCTTTCTATTTAATTACCAAACCTCGAATTACTTCTGTAATCCTTGCAAAATGGTGGCTTTGAGAGCTAGACAAACTTGGTAGCTGATTCCTAATCTTCTGTTAACTCACCATGACTGAGACAGTGTCGTCACAATCAATCTCAGATAGTTATGTTCCTGTTGTGACATATGCTATATGCCTACTGACTTAAAACTAATAAGTCATTGTGTCCACTCAACTTTCTTTGAGGGTTGGGTGAGCATGATACAATCAATTTCTAATACTCTAAGCCAGGGGTCTCCAAACTTTTCAGTCCGAGGACCGCATTAATTTCAGTTCAGGGCCCAGTTTCTTCCAGGCATGTCTTTGATTTTTCTGGGCAAAGTTCCTCAGCCATCACCAACAAACGATTTTTCCTTGGACAGAAAGATCTCAGCGGGCCGGATGAGAGGACTTAGAGGGCCGCATCTGGCCCGCAGGCTGTAGTTTGGAGACCCCTGCTCTAAGCTATTCTAAAAACATAAAACTGGCCTTGGTTATTATCAAAATGGTTATTTTAGAAGCTCAATATATATATTTTTTTTGAAGCAATGTTGAAATCTCATTTTTGTTAAATTGTATAATTTCAAGTAAAGCAAATGGTCCATTAGAAAGGACAACACATTTCTGGTCATAGTTTTCTCTATTTACATGTTTTTTTTTCTTTCCACAGAGAAAAAGAACTGGACAAATATGACTATTAAAAAATAAACCAAAAAAATCTGTTTTTTGTTGCTTCTGGTGTTTTTTGCTAAGCTCCTGTGACCTTGACATATGAGAGATAGTGTGTTCAGCACAATGCTCAGCCACCTTTACTTTCCCTAACATGAGGAAAAATAATTCATCACAATTTGGCAGAATGTAGTTCTACTGACTTGAACCAGGGTTAGAACTTCAGATTATAGTTTGCAGCCTTGCATTCTACATCTGTTTGAAGGTGTGAACATGTTCAGTCTTTCATCGAATTTACAACACCAACAAATGGGCCTAAATTTTAACTAATGGAATGTCCACCCAACTGAGTGACATACAATTAAGTAAAATTTACTTGCTATCTTATTCTAAGCGAAAAGAAAAGACAGCAGTAAACCCAAAGTAAGGAAAACTTGTTTAGGACCAATGGATGGGTTCCAAATCTGTATATTGTGAAAGGTTCTCTGTGGGTTGCCAAATTGTTTCAATTTTTAATGAATGGTTTCTTGAAGATTCACTCCAAAATAACCAATATCTGGCAGAAGGAACACTTTCTTAAGGCAACTGAAAACTAGCCTGTTGAGTAATTAACTGGGGTCGGCGTGGTCGAGTCTGTAAAGCTCATGGTTGCTAAACCGAAAAGTCTCGAGTTCGAACCCCCGGGCAGATGAGGCTCGTTAGCTGGGGACAGCCACTCTTCTAGGAGAGACAACTCCAAAATTAAACAACTGCTGCCTTGTAGATTGTTCTTGGTTGGACAAAAGCTATGGAAGCAAATCCAAAAAGAAAAGCAGGCTGAAATTGGAGTCAATGGCGCATAACCAGTTGACACGTACTGCTTAATTGTGTTGGAGGCGTGGTCGAGTCGGCAAGAAGCTCATGGTTGATAAATTCAAATAAAGTCTCGAGTTCAAACGCACTGGCAGATAAATCTCGATCCCCTTCAACACTAATAATTAAAAACGAAGAAGAAGAAGAGTAACTTATTAAGCAAACTAGTGAAAAATATTTCTAGATCTGACCTAAATGTGCTGCATCTTTACAGCATCTCTAAGAATTGTCTTCAGTATGTAAGCTTTTCTCCTATTTGTGAGGCTTTTTTGCATTCCACCAGGCATTTAAATCCTATTGAAGGAAAATTGATTGTGGAAACTGCCATGTGGTAGATGAAATTGATGAGAGTAAATAAACAATTGAACATTTAAAGAGATTTCCGGGCATCTACTAGAATTACTTGAAAATAAATTGACACTAAACAAGTTAAAGTCAAAGGTAGCTGAATTATCCAGCTAGTAAAAGTATTCTTGCATTTCAACAAGAATGCTGACTTTTGTCCTGTTCGCAAAATGTTGGTGTGGTATGTAACATTCATACTCGAATATGACAATGCTTGCCTCTGTTTAAAAACAAAATTATTTTGAATAATTTAAATTATTGTGGTAAAAAATAGTGAATTTTGAGGCTAGTCAATAACATGGAATTTCCCCCATTGCATTACATCACTTACTACACTACATAATTTTTTTCTATATACTACATACTACTAAAACTAAAGTTTGTTTGTCTGATTTGGTACTGTAAGGAAACTGCTCTATACGGGGGGGGGGGGGGGGCTGTAAAAGTGTGTAGGTAGAGAACAATGTTGGTTTGCAGACAATCTGTTAATCAGATTGATTTATTCATAGGTAGATTAACCACATTAATTTTAAAGTTTTAGATAAATGGCTTAACTGACTGAATAGTGACGTTTGATAACTAATTTTTTTGTTTGTTTTTCTGATTTGTTATTGGGGAGAATCTGCATTATGTGTAGAGCTGTAAAATAGGATTTTGGGTGGTAAATATTGTTCTTTCTTAAACACACTGAGTGTTAGTTACAAACTAATTTAAAGTAAAAAAAAAGCCGTTAATTTATTGATATATTCATTGGTAGATTAACCACATTAATTTGATTGAATATAAAAGTTTAGAACAATGACTTTAGTAATGGTAAAAAGATTTATTTCTTTTTACAACGTTTTCAATTATTTTTTCTTAAGGCCTATTTGTGAATGATAAGGTTGAGTATCAGGACCTCGTGGGGCACAGGGCAGGTGAAGTAGAGTTCACCTGTTTCAATGTTCTCAGCATATGAAGTGATAGTGTGGTCAGAGCCATTCTCGGCCGGAATAGTTTTTTTTTAAAATACAAACATGTCTGAGACTTGGCGGGCACTGAGCAGGTGAAGTAGAGTTTAGTAGAGTTTTTAAGATATAAAAATCGTCTTTTTCCCACGTTTTCTTTAACTTGCTTTCTCTGTGTGTTTGTCTTTCCAATCCAATCTTGCGATCGAAATTTCTGGCACTTCCCAGTTAGCTAGCGCGCTGAAATTTTCAGGGAAGCTTTGTTTTGGATGACAATTGAATATGCTATTGTTTTTATTACTAAATTAATACATGGAAACATTTTATTGATCATTTTAAACCGCTATATAATTGTACCAAAAAACGTGGGGGAAAAGGGACATTACCCAGTAACTGTAATTTGATGAAAACAAGGTTCGGCACTCCCCCTCTTTTTGCTTACTGAGTAGTTGTCACGCTGTGTTTGTGTACAAACAACCATAACGTAACAACTGGTGGCCAGTATGGGGGAGACGATATGGTCGAGTGGTTGGGCACACGATTGCTATCCCACTCGACGCGGGTTCAAATCTATGTGTTCTAGTCAGTAACGTATTCACACAACGTGTTTTTTACGAGTTGTCTTTTTACGAGTTGTCTTCGTTTACCCAAAAAAAAGTGAAAAGATAAAATCGATAGCAAGATTTACATGCAAACAAACAGACAAACACTAAAAAGTAGAAAATAATAATCATTAAAAAAGTTTTAAAAAACCCACGTTTTCTGATTGAACTAAAAAGTAGAAAATAAATACTATACATCACAATAATGCAAGCGATCACTCTACTATAAGCTATCAAAAACGTGGGGCGCCGTGATTTTCTTACAGTTTCTAATACTGTTGACTCTCTACAAGCTCCCTAATAAAAGTCAATAGTATTATCTAATCAATAGTAATATAACTTTTACTTCGGCGACCCACGTTTTTGATAGCTTATAGTAGAGTGATCGCTTGCATTATTGTGATGTATAGTATTTATTTTCTACTTTTTAGTTCAATCAGAAAACGTGGGTTTTTTAAAACTTTTTTAATGATTATTATTGAATGTGGGGTCTGGTTATTTTGGGATGAAAAGTGCTGGCAGACGTGATGTCATTTATGGATGAACCCCCCCCCCGAAATCCACAGTTATCTAACTAGATAAAGGGTAGATGGAAAACATAATTGGTTGTTTCTAATAATTTCTATATTCAAATGTAATTAAAAAATCGACTGTTTTAACTCTGTGGGTTCACTTGGCTTTTATAAAATGAGGCAGCACTTGAAAAAGTTTGGGTAATAAGGTCTTGATAATCTAGATTGTTTCAGTGCCATACTGAGTCACTTTATATCCAAATAGCTTGCTGTTTATGCTATTATTACTATTAATGTTTTATGCTCTTTGGTATAATTTACTTCATTTTCTTTGCCAAGTCCATATCAGACAGGAAAAGCATAGTGCTGAGGCAGTTTATTTTTGCTTTTTTTCTATTACACTTACAGCTTTTTTCAAAAATGGCATGGTAAATAAAAAATAGAAACATCTTTCTTAAAAACATTGAGTTTATTTAAACCTTTTTGTATAAATAAATGCTGTGGGCAAAGACTTAAAATAATCAACTCAGTATATATTTTGAATTAAATTTACAGATTTCGGCTAGTAATATCCAATGGCAGTTATGTCATTTTACCCTTACAGAGCACAAGGAGTCCAAGGTCTCCTTCAGTCATATCAGTAATACTTTTTACTTTATTTACAAACTATTGACTTGTACACATGGTTTGCTAATAACATTCTAATTATTCTATGACTAATTTACATTTATTTCTGCACTGGACCAAACTCAGGTTCATATTACAGCTAAGTGATAAAAAAACTTTTTGGTAAAGAATAAAAAATATGTGTATATACCAAGAAAGGTAAGATTGCACTACACTTTTGTTAGAAATATGTACTCTTAAATACAGTTGGATATGTACAGAATCAGATTATTCATTTATCAAAGTAAATAAAAAATGTACATTACAAGTGCGAAATCAAAGCACTGAACAGATGAAGCATAGTGGTATGTGTTTGTGAATCTCTTTCTTTGATTATGTTCTATACTATAAGGCACTGTAGTGAAACAAATTAATTTATATACTCACAAGTAATTAGTGAACTAAAAGGTGTTTTACTCGTTCAAAAAAACAATTCCACAAATATTAGTAAATTAGATTTCTCAAACATTTTACTAATAAGCTTGAATAATAGACTTATAAGCACCTTCACTTTTTTTAAACTATGGATTTCAAAGTTAACACAAAATTAAATCAAAATTTTGATGCAGTTGTTTGAACTTTTAAAATCAAAAATATACTTTACGCTTTAAATTTATACAACTTGTCCTTTAATTAAAATGTGCCGTAATTGATAGAGGCAATCAGTGATGCAACCTGATTCTAATAGAATGACAGAGTAGGAAGCCATTGAAGGCATGATCTTCTATCAGTTTCAGACCTAATAAGCCTGTTAAGATCTTCCACAAAAAGTGTGTGTCAATCATATCAATGTAACTATCTATTTGGCTGAAATATCAGGGTTAAAAAGATAGATTTGTATAAAAACTAACAGTTTTTGTAATTAAATACATTGTGAGATTCAACGATATTATTCTCTGGGTTTTAAAAAAAGAATGACAATATTCCTGTAGATTAATTAAAATAATTTGATTTCAGTGTAAAAATAACATTTCAAGTACAAAATATCAGAAACTCTGATAGATCTACAATCTGTAACAAATGGCAGTGATTTCACAAAAGCCATGAACCTGAATGCTTAATTTTTATCCAGAAGTTAATTCTATTGTATTTGTAGTTTTGATGGCTGTACACTTAAACTTAAACAATAGTTTGATTGAAGACTATCAAGGTATTTGTTAAAAGCTAATATTTAAAATTAGGTACATAACATTATGTAAAACTACTTAGATCTATACAGTTTTAAAATTATAAAAATGCCTTTTTAGAAGTTAGCATTCGTTGTAAAATACTTTTTCTAATCAATTAAAGCTAAAATAATTCACATAAAAATTTATTATCAATATCACACTCAGGTTGATGTTCAAACTGTACCATGTGTAAAAGAAAGTCTAAGCATTTGATAAATCTAAACTGTAGTCAGTCAAATTCATAGTACCTTCATAAATGCACATATATTTAAAAATGTGCTTTCACAACCAACATCAATTTTAACAGTGCATACACTATTCTTATGTTGATAAATACTGTACAACTGAATTTCTCTACTAAATATATAAATCTGCCAAATATTTTTTTTATTTACAGTGGAATTGAAATACTGATTGTAAATTAAAGACAATGCTATATTAGGTTTTGAACACTATCGCTCTTCAACAATTATTACATAACTAAAACATTCCATAAATAATATCATATTCTTTATTAAAAAAGGAAACATAATAAAGTTTGCATAATACCTTTGTTGACTTCTTCATGCAATTTGTTCTTTAATACTACTTTAAAAAAATGTAATTCCTCTTTTAAAAATTGATGATATGCCAGTTTGTAATAAAGAGTAAGAGAATACAACTAAACTAAAATTGAGATGAGGAGGCTTTATGATTATTGATGGTGTTTATGGCACTCATTGACCAGATCAAACATTTAGTACCCAGCAAAAACAATTGTTTCAACAGATGCAATAAGATGCAATGATTGAATATCTTAGTTTAGCATGTTACTGATGCAAAAACTGACATGCTGGTCTACTGATTATCTACAGTGAGCTGGCTATAACAGTTTAACACACAAAATTTGTTCTTGTATAAATTAATTTTGCACAGCCTTTCACAATTCTTCTAAAAAAAAAGTGTAAACATCTAGTTTCTAAATCTACTCGTACAAGTAAGCAAATTTAATGTTATGAAAATAAATTTGATATCACAAAGTTTTACAAAAAAAAAGTTGACATTTTATTTTAGGTCCACATACAATAGACAAACTCAACATATTTTTAAAAAAAAAACAACTTATTTTAGACTAAAATTTCTATTTTAAAAAATTTCATGGTAAAATTTTTTTAGAAACTGTAAAAGCTGAGATTTCTTGTCAAGTACTACATGAAAAATAAATAAGAAAAATAAATAAATAGCTCACAAAAATTTGGTGAATATTAAATGCAAGAATGAAAATGTCACGAATAAGTCATTATATGGCATCTTATATCACACTTTATGCCTCAAGGCAAGCTCGTAAGATAATCTTGATCTCAAATCAAACCTGCCACAGTAAAAGGTGATTGGTACTATCATCTCGGCCAGCACCTTCGTTTGCTGCACTGTTGCGAAAATCTTCATATCCATCACCTCCGCTGATGACCAGCATGCGACTTGCCATGGTGGCTGTTGTGGCGGCCATGGAAGATCTCCTGTGGATGTCTTGAAATGAGAAGCCACCTGTCCTTTCAACCACAGCCCCTTCCCCTTCCTTGGCTAGCTCTGCTTTAGTACTAGCTGTGCTACTGATTTCTACACTAGTCAGGAACCGCACATGGCCTGTGTGACCATACACAAGACCTGGTGTTGAGATAAATGTACGGAGATTAAATTTAAGTGATTTAATTTTATTTTGAACATCCTACCTGATACAGTTAAATTTAAAACTATTTCATTCAGCAGTCAATCAAAATAATGGTTGCAAGGTAGAGCTCTTCACTGTTTATGAATAAACTAAATTACTTTTCAAAAAATGCTAAGTCAATACGCTCCCACTTAATAATATGTAAAGAGATTAATAGGTTTTTTAAAAGTATAACTACTTAAAAATGCTGAAAGAAAATGTTATCCTTTGTTTCTGTTATGATTTTTGTTATTATTCTATGGAAATTTTGTTTACACTTGTTTGTTAAAAGTAACAGTTAATAATATGTAAAGAGATTAATAGGTTTTTTTTTTAACAGTATAACTACTTAAAAATGCTGTCCGAAAATGTTATTTTTTGTTTCTGTTATGATTTTTTAATTATTATATGAAAATTTTGTCTACACTGCATTTTCTCACCTGTAACAGTGGGGGTAGCCAGACTCCCACGTGTGGTTGTTGAGGTGATGCGTGGTATTGGAATGGTAAGGATGACACCCGCACTTGTTCCAACCCACAGTAAATCTTTACATACCATCAGTGCAGTGATGCGCAGGCATGCTGCCTTGTGTTGACGGATTATATCATCTGCCGCTGTTTAAAGTAATTTAATATGGTGACGCTAAATTTAGGTTTACGGTATAATTTAAATATAATAGACAATATAAAGTAGTAATGAGTAAAATTTATAAATTGAAACAAGAAGTTTAGTAGGTGGGTACAGTACTATCATGTGAAACATAGGACGAGTAACAAAACAAAAATATGATCTTTATATATTAACAGATATACTTAACCCAACCCTACTGAGCCCTGACCTAACCCTAAGAGAAGATAATGCACTATTGTGTACATACACTGCAGCTTCTGAGACACAGCCTGTGCAATGGACACTTCCAGCAGGAACTCATAGGTCACAGCATGAAACAACATGACCTTTGAACTCTGCTGTGATGCCACCCAAACACCTTGACCTGAGCACACAAGACATTGGACGGCTTTGGTTGAGTCTGATGTCACTTGAAAAGACGTCTGAAAATTGTAAAACAAATGGATATCAGATCAAGAAAACATTTAAATAAAAAGTTACATTATGTATTATACTTTTAGTAAGATTTTCATGTTTTCTAGTTTTTCATGTATTTTAGTTCATATAAAAAACCTCTACTACAAAATTAGTATATTTAAAAGAAACAGCAGTTTAAATTGCTACCAATGCAAATGAGAGCTCTAACCTCAATATTTAATGCAAGTGGATTGATGACATGAATTTGATTCTGACATCCACACCACAGTTTGCCAGCCACAGCCAACATCTTGGTGATAGGTGAAGCAGCTGATCCAATGGTTCTTGTGTATGGGCATTCTGTGTCCCACAGGCCCTCTGCTTATAAGGGAATACAACACAACATTTTAAAGCTAGTGAAACAGCAACTTTGGTGCAACTGTCTTTAACAAGCGATAACTGATATTTGGTTACAGGAAGGGAAATAATGTATGGCTATAGTAAAAAGTTGTTACCCTTTCTGGCCTATAAACACACAGGGCAGATGAAGTAGAGTTCATCTAGACCACAGCGTATAAAGAGATAGTGTGGTCAGTACTATGCCCAGCTGAATTTATTTTCCTATATTTTAGTCAGGTACTTAACAGAGCTGGACGCACTCAGGGACATCCTATGACCTTAGAATCCAGGATTTGAACTCAAAAGACTTTTAAGCTAGCTGTCATGCTCACTACTGCCTGACCATGAATGGGTATAGCATTGACCACACCGTTTCTTCATGTAGCCTACCGAGGTCAGCGAAGCATATGAAAGTCTATTTCTTTTGCTTTACTAACCATTAGGCCTGAATAAAACAACAATCCAAGTTATAACAGTCAGGGGATGGCCACAAGAGAGAAATCAAAACCATTAAATACCATTTACACAGCAACATATATACAGTTTTAAAGATTTGTAAGGTAAAAATGTAGACCCACCTGGATCTCTTTTGTACACAATCAGATCTCCATTCACAAGGGAGACAAAAACTTTGTTGTCGAGATAACTGAGAAAATAAAGTGATGGAATAAAAAAAGATCATAGATAATGTAAGATAATTCTATCTTAAGAAATAATTTTATTAGCAGAAAAAAGTTTTCATGTTGTTTCCTTAATTTAAAAAAAAAAATCACTACTCTTCTTTCATATTATAGTCTACTTACATAATACAATAGACAGGTGACCCATGTTGAATCTTCAGTTTATTTTTGGTCGTCTTTATGTTATCACAGGATTGGAAGATGTGAATACTGAAATAAAGGTTAAAACAAAAAGTATTTAATTCACTGCATCTTTAAAATGTTACATTTGCCACAAAAGCCAGATATAACTTTGGAAATGAAATAGGCTAAAAATAAAATTACCTTTTGTAACTATACATTTATATATTGCCTTATGGGCAATGAAGGAACAATGGTTTGTAGGCAACCTATAAAATATGATTCTCATACTTATAAAAAGAAAGATTTATTGGTAGATCTAATTCCAGAAAATAATTACCATCCATCTTCAGTGCCGAGCCACATGGTAGATTTGGCTGGGTCCTGATCCCAGTTCCCAGAAGTTGTGATGGGATCTGGGCTGCTCTCTGTCAGCTCTGAAACTTTTGGTTTGGGAGCTTCATCGTCTGAGATAAGCTCTACAATTGTAGAATGTATTCTTTTATAATATTTCATCAGTTTTTTTTAAGTTCAATTACAAATTTTTTTTTAAAGATCATCATAAAACTTTTCATTTAACCATAATAATTTTCTAATAAAAAGTATAATTGAAAATCTTTATTTAAAAAAGATTTATTCCTCATTAAAAAATATTATTAAAAAAATAACTGTTCTAACTACTGGGTAACACCATCTACTCAAGTACTCACCTCCAACATACAGCTCATCTGTCCTGGTAATGAAAGACACAGGCTCATCATCGCTTGAGTCAGAGTCTGACTGGTAGCCCTCCTCATTGAAATTGTCATTGCTCTCACTGTGCTCCACCAAAACTGGAGCCTCAGGGATGACTGTCTCACTGGGTAATGTAATTTCTGGTGGCTCGATGTCTTCAACTGCTTTTTCCACGTTGATGCGTGGCCCCTCAGGAATGGTTGAAACCACAATTGAGTCTCGCTGACCCCGTGGTCCTTTTTGGGATGTGCGTCTATAAGAAAAGATTAATTAAAAAAAAGATATCTTAACTATAATTTAAGTATACTAAATATACCAATTTGGTTAACTAATAGTTGGACTTGTTGTCTAAATCCTCCACCATATTCTCAATTAAGAAAGAAGAAGAAGAAGAAGGTTAATTAATAAAGTAGATTAAAAAATTTTGTTTTAAAAATCAAAGTGTTTTTTAAAAAAGTTGTTCAATTTAAATACACTTTGCTTAATATTTTTTTAATTATATCTATTTTTGCTGTAGATGAGATGCAATCTGTATTATTAAAATTAAATAAGAATTGGAGAGGATAACCAAAGACGTGAGATAAGTGTATAAGAGACAATAGTTACCTCCTAAAGGCACCACTGAAGGCTGGCACAGCACATATACAAAGTATCCTAGCATTGCACCCAGGCACTGGGGTGTTGAGTGTGACAATGGGCTCAGGTTGTAGAGACAACAAACACATGTGCCCCACATAGCCGTCACTGTTGCACACCCACACATCTCTGAACCCGCTTGAGTTGACGCCATCAATAGGTGCAGCACAGGAGAACTGGTCAAACATTTTTGTACAAATTTTGTAAGTTCATAAATAAAGCGGAGTCAAAAATTAAACGGAAGTTGCAAAAGAAAGAGTGAAAAAGAATTTTTTGCAAATGGAATGAAATTAATGTTATATTTAAAAACTGTGACTGGTAGTCTGTATACAAAGAAGTGTGCAAAGACATTTTAGTTTTTTAAAATCTAGCCTTTATAAACATTAACAAAGAATACTCCATGTTCATTGCAGTATAATAAAACATATTTCCATGAAATATGACATAATTAAAATGTGTATTGGTATCATCAGAAGCAGTTTTTGTGACAAAATGTCTAGTTTTAAATTTAAAGGCTTAAACAAGAAAAGTTTTATTTCCACAAAAGGTTGTGTTGACTAGCAATACTTCAAGTAATGGCAGAAGTTAAAACTGAACAATTTACCTGCATTCCAGCTCTAGTCTTGGTTATCTGGAGAGGCTGAAGAAACTCTGGAGCTCTCTTGTCTGACAGTAGGGCTTTAGTGAAACAGAAAGTGTTTATTGAATGCTTATCTGGCAATAGGGCTTCATAAAAATAGGTTTATTTAATAGGCCCTTTTTGTATTTTTATATCTTTTGAGTCAGAATAAATGACAAACCTATCTAAAGAGAATGTTAGTCAACGATTATGATAATTATAAAGCCATATTTCCATACATATGACAAGGCGTGGCCAAGCAGTAGAGTGCTAGACTGCTAACCCCAAAGTCTCAAGTTCCAATTTAGGTTCAAGTCAGTAGAAAGTCCCTGAGTCCATTCAGCTCTGATGGGTACCAAACTCACGTTATAGAAAGTAAAAGTGGCTGGGCATAGTGCTGACCACACTATCCCATCATATTCTGAGGTCAGGGGAAACAGATGAACTCTACTTCACTTGCCCCATGGACTGTCAGGTTCAAAAAGGGAACCTGACTTTTTTAAAATTTCCAAGCATAAAAGGAGATCAAACCGTAAACTTAAACATTACTTACAAAGTTTTTGCTTAGCGTCTGTAAAAGCAATTTCCCATGTTGCCCTTTTTTCTGCTGATGAGAAGCCAATGACAAGGTGCAACACACCCTCCCTAGTGAGATAACATTTTACAAATCATATCAGTTCAAAAGTAGATAATAATATTTGCTTTAGTTTTACAGCTGGTATTAGTTCAAAACTAGATAATAATATTTGCTTAAGTTTTACAAATCATATCAGTTCAAAAGTAGATAATAATATTTGCTTAAGTTTTACAAATGGTATAAGTTCAAAACTAGATAATATTTGCTTAAGTTTTACAAATTGAATTAGTTCAAAAGTAGATAATAATATTTGCTTAAGTTTTACAAATGGTATTAGTTCAGAACTAGAAAATAATATTTGCCTAAGTTTTACAGCTAGAATTTGTTCAAAAGTAGATAATAATCTTTGCTTAGTTTTACAAATTGTATTAGTTCAAAAGTAGATAATAATATTTACTTAAGTTTTACAACTGGAATTTGTTCTAAAGTAAACTGTGCAAACAGAAAAATGTGCTAATACAAACTCATAATAACCCTAACCTGCACCCTATATTTATTTAACCTATCCTTAAATGACAGGGAATCAATGTCCTACTGCGGATATTTGAGTGGGGATAATGTCCTACTCACAATGCAAAATGGAAAGCAGCCAAAAAGTAAAAAACTTTTTTAAAGTTCTCTGCATTTGCATAATTTTGTAACAAGTTTTTACCAGCTTTAAAATTTAAATATATTAAAAAACGTGATTCGTTGGAAAGTTGAAATAAGCAAAAGCACCTTTTCGATCCATGTTAACAATTGTGACCTGATGCTATAGATAGATATGAGGACTTACTGTGAGGTGACTAGCAGCTCCATCTTATTGGAGTCTGATGAGGCATTCCTGGCATTTGCCTCGGAAAGCTGCCTGGACAGGTTAGTGCTTAAATCTTTTATCACATCATCGAGGCCCTGGTTTAAAAAGAAAAGTTAACACATTTACATTAGTTCATGAATTAATTCATTACGATTTTTAAATAATAAATGATAATTTTAGCAACTAATATTGTGTTCAGAGACTTGATCCAATTGAAAATTACAATGCTTGACATTTACACTCATTACTAAAGTACACACATTTAAATAATTCACACATTTCTTCATCTCCTGAGTTGAAATCCTGAATTCTTATCAGTAGAATGTCCCTGAGTCCACCCATCTTTGATGGGTACCTGACTCTTGTTAGGGAAAGTAAAGGCAGTTGAGTATAGTGCTGACCACACTATATATTCATTTGTTGAGGTCACTAAAACAGGTGAACTCTACTTCACCTGCCACATGGACTGCCAGGTTTGAAAGAGTACTTTATTTACATTTCTTCATCAGATCAGTAAAAAAAAAATTATCGGTTATAACCAATACGTAGCAAATTACAAATTAATAGTTTTCAATTCACAAAGACTTTCTTTCAAAATTTTCCTAAGCTATAAGCCTGATGCTAACAGAATAACTTGCACATGAATGAAACCTAAATTCAAACTTTCTTTTAAACTTTTCCTAGAGAAGAACAGTGTAGTAGATACCTGATGCTGACAGGATAACTTTCACATAAATAAAACCTAAATTCAAACTTTCTTTAAACTTTTCCTAGAGAAGAAGAGTGTAGTAGATACCTGATGCTGACAGGATAACTTGCCCGCAAGTTCTGCCAACTGGGTCACAACATTAAAATCTTCCTCCACCTGCTCTCTATCTATTGTAGGTTTGCGTGACAATGTACCCTGAGCTGAAATGGGATTATCAGTTTTTGATAGGTTATCTATTGGCTTTTTGCACCTCATTTCTAGAAGCTATTCCAAGCCAATCAAATTTATTTTTAGAAGCTGAAATATTCTGAAACCAACATTTTTTTCATTCATAGATATTAGACTTTAAAAACACTTAATTTTAATAAAATTATAATTATCATGTTTTTCTGCATTATTTTTGTTTGTTTTGAGAATAAGTTTTTTAAAATAATATTGGAATAACAACGTTGAAATATAATAAAACAGAACAGGAGTAACATACTTTTTACAATCTCGAGATCATCCAAGCCGACACGAAGCCATACTTTATGTTTGATATTTTCAGCAAAATCTTGGCCCAGTGGGGTTTTCCTGTAAAGTTCAAAATAAAGCTGGTATTGAAAATCACATGCAACATCTGGCCACACATTCTACTTGTTTTATTATAAAAACTCAGCATCGTTAGATACTTTTAATGATAAGATAGAGAAAGAAAATTTTAAATTAAAAATTATATACTTACAATATGATTGAAACTTTCCTAGTGACTGGGCCACTTTTTCTTTTAATACTGCTTATAAGAATAACATCTGAGAACAGCCATATACAACACTGATCCTTTTTGTTCTGCAGACAGATAATACATACGATTACATACATGTTTCATAATTGGGTAAGCTTAGGAACATAAATAAAAGGCTATTAATAAAAGGCTGAAAATAAATGGTGAAATAAAAAACTAGGATCTTAACCAAGTACAATCAGGGGCTGCAACACTGGGTACTTAAAAATTTTTTTTTAAAAGGTAAAACTCAAAATTAGTGCTGTTAAGGTTAATTACTTGTAAAATATATACACAAAATTACTGGTTATGTATCTAAAAAAAATTCAAAATTATAAACTAAATTAAAATAAATAAGGTGTTAATAGTTCCATCACAATAAACACAACCAAGAAACACTCATCTATTAGTCAAAAGAGATTTTAGAGTTTATATTAAAGCTTCTATCAAAGAAGTGACTACATTATTGCAGAAATGTATGATAGTGATTAATGTATTTGTATGAACTACTGCTCTTTGAAAGAGGGTTTAGCTTACTATATTAAGACATTTTAGCTTGTTTTTTCTTAGTTACTATAAAGCATGAAAGTGTGTGCACAACTAAATAGCTTCCAACAATTAAAACTGTCAAGAAATAATTCTGAAACCAACACTTTACACACAAAAAAGAATGCTGTCCAAAATAAAGCTGGCTACAAACTTCAATCTTTTGAATGCACATGCACCAATTCTTCTACTAACTGGGTAACATGCTGGGTACTAATTAATTAGTAGGTTAATATAATTTTAAATCTTGTGAATCACAATAATTCCCAGGCTAAGAAATATAATGTTTTGCAAAATAGATAATCTTTTAGCTGAGAGAGAATCTATCACAAGATTAATATGGAAAGATATTAAGATGGAACTCTTGAGAGAGAATCTAGGAAAGAATTAAGGAGAAGCTGTTGACAGAGAATCATGCATGGGATTAACATGTAGGCAAAACATCCAGTTAGTTAATTTTAACAAAATTCTAAAGTCTATGTAAAAAAAAGATGTACAGATTCATATTTAGCAATGAAATAATTATAAAACAACATAAAAAGAAGTGTATGTTACTATTAGACCTTTTTTGAAAATAAGAACTTATTCGGCCCTGAGTATACACATATACTTGATATACAATTATACATAAACTATATATAGTTATATATAAACTTCAATCAGATCAAAACCTTGGGTATGTTTATTTAAAAATCTTTTTTTATAATATCCAGAAATTTGAGTGCGTCATTTGTGACATACGATTCATGCAAGGGAACAAATTAAATAACTAAAATAAAATAATCTTAAGTTATACGATTAGATTAATAAACAGTAAAAATGTGAATAGTTTCTTAAACTATTATAGGGGTATGAAAGATTGTTTTAATGATTAAAAAAGTCCAAGTGATACCTAAAAACGTATTGTGTGAGCAGCTAATGTACCAATGGCTGTTCAATATTTAGACTAAAGCAGGGCATTTCCTATTAACATCTGTAAACCTTAAGTCAGTTCTCACTACTTCCTAACCCTAAAGTCTTTACGGTTAATTTTCTCAAGTGAAGCCGTATTATAAAGTTTTAACAAAGTTTGAACTTATCAACAGTGCAATTCAAACTGTGATACAATTAGAAAATAAGCAGAGAGGTTATTAATTATTGTAACTTTAGTAATTAAAGAAAAGTATACATTTTACAATAATTAATATAATAATTAATTTTTGCGAGTCAATTAAACAAGATAAATTTTACAAGTAAAAACACTTTAAAAAATGCATCAACCATTTTCGATCGAAGGCAAATGGGAGTAAAAGCCATTACTGGTTCAAGGGAAGGAAATTACAGAAGCCAAATCTGGGGTCATGATGGGGAAACATGCAAGGTTTGCTCTAATTGAAAAACAAAAGCTACGCAAAAAACAAGTGATATAATGCAAATTCGTGACCTTGTGATCACGAGTCCGTGTCCCTAACCAGTGCGATACGCTGCTCCCCAATGTACGAGAATACACTAAAGATGATGTAGAAAAACTTACAAATAACTGAACCATGTCATGGCGGATGTATGCTCTGTCTGGGACTGCCAGCTGGAAAGATGTAAAAAAATTACAAGGTTAAATAAAGGCTAAATAAGTTATCATTTCATGGAAGAGAAATAGTTTTCAATAACCTTCAATAACGAATCTAATTATTTTTAGGTCAACCGTTTCTTTAGTGTTTCTAAACTAACAAGGCTAAATCAGTTATAACTTCATGGAAGAGAAATAGTTTTCAATAACCTTCAATAATGAATCTAATTTTTTTAGGTCAACCATTTCTTTACAGTGTTTCTAGAATAAAAAGGCTAAATCAGTTATAACTTCATGGAAGAGGAATAGTTTTCAATAACCTTCAATAACGAATCTAAACTTTTTTTAGGTCAACCATTTCTTTACAGTATTTCTAGAATAAAAAGGCTAAATCAGTTATAACTTCATGGAAGAGGAATAGTTTTCAATAACCTTCAATAACGAATCTAATTATTTTTAAGTCAACCGTTTCTTTACAGTGTTTCTAGAATAACAAGGCTAAATCAGTTATAACTTCATGGAAGAGGAATAGTTTTCAATAACCTTCAATAACGAATCTAATTTTTTTTAGGTCAACCGTTTCTTTACAGTGTTTCTAGAATAACAAGGCTAAATCAGTTATAGCTAATGGAAGAGGAATAGTTTTCAATAACCCTCAATAACGAATCTAAACTTTTTTTTAGGTCAACTATTTCTTTACAGTGTTTCTAGAATAACAAGGCTAAATCGGTTATAACTGCATGGAAGAGGAATAGTTTTCAATAAGTGTATGCGAAAGCTAAAATTTTTAAGGTAAAACATTCCTTTACAGTGTTTCTAGAATAACGAGACTAAATCAGTTATAACTTCATATAGGTGGAATCGTTTTTCAATAACTGTCTACACAAACTACAATTTTTAAGGTAAACCATGTCTTTATAGTCTTTCTATAATAACAAGCTCTAAATAGTTATAGTTTCATATAGATGGAGTAGTTTCCTCCAATACCCATTATGCAAACAACAATTTTTAAGTTTATTATATTTGTACTATTTCTTTTCAGTGTTTCTTTTATAATTCTTATTGTTTATATTTATTTTCTAATCAAACAAGGTGGGTTTCAAATTTGTGAAAGAAACTATAAAATAATAATGATTTTTTTACAGTAAAAAAAAATTTCTTAGTAAATTACAAAAAGGATAGTTGAAGAAATTTTTAGAGAACTTTGAGACCGTGACAAAGTCACTTTTTAATGTTGTAGACAGTTATCATCAAGATATTCTCACTGGAAAGGAGGGGGGGGGGGGGAAATGCTCAAACACTATTACTGGTCAGTGTAAATAGCAATTAATACCAATCACTGAAATGTTTTTGGTGTAATAAAAACTGTTTTCAGCTAAGCCACCAGCATGATTAAATTTACTAAAGTGGATTTGTATTTTTTATAAAAATCAATTTATGAACAATCGCAGAAATAATTTCCAAGTAAAAACTAGAAACAGCAAAGGTATGTTAAAATGCTGAAAATGCAGTTACAATAGTAGGATACCACCAGGAGAGAAAAAAAAAAGCAGAACAGGTAAAGTGAAATTTGAGGACTGTGAAAAAAAAAAACCCAGCTTTGCAAGATATGAAATGGGCAATAAAAAAAACATTTTAATCAAATATTTCAAATATTTTCTCACATCTGTAATCAACAAGAGCTCAAGTTTCTTTAATGTTTCTTGCATGTCTTCTTCGTGCTGTGAGTCGTTAACCGTGCCAATCTTAACGGCCAGATCATGCATCACACGGCAAGCTTGCTGAAGGAGGGGACTGTCTGGGTGGTCTCTGGGCGTGTTGTCCAGCAATCTCTGGAGAAAAAAAATATCAGGGGTTAATTGGTACTTGATGGGATGGCGTGGTCGGGAGGTAGAGTGCTTGACTGCTAACAAGTTCGGATCTTGGTATTATTTAATTTAGCTGTAAAAGCCAACTTTTATAAGGATAATAAGGGGGATAAAATATATGTTTGTCTTGTTTATTTTATCCATCATACAACTCTGAAAAGGAAAAGTTTTTCACCTGAATAAGTAACTCGTATCTGGGTATTCTTTGAATAGGACGAACAATCAAATCTTTCATGGTCAATTTGCTGCCACTGTCTTTCTGGCATTGCTGTGTAAAGGTACAAAGATGACTGCGTTTATAGTTGTTTGATTAAATCAAGGTTAGGGTAAGTGGGTTTTTTCATGTTATATAAGGTAGAGGTTGGTATAAGTGTATAAGGTAGAGATAACCAGATATTTTAATGTTAATGTTGTTAAGATAGAAGTTAGTTAAGGTGTATAGGAAAGATAAAAATCATAAGGTCTGATAAGCTTATCCTGCATATAGCAAAGTCGACTTAAAGGGTTTACTGTAAGAAAGATAGGAAATTAAAAGGATGTAATTAATTTAAGTTGTATAATAATGGGACAAATCAGTAGGTTTATGATACATGAGGCTTAGCGATTATCAAAGCATTAAATAACTAAATATAACACAAAAAAGCTCAGTTATTTATTTTATTGCAGTTCAAAGAAAGCTATTTTTCTAAATGAATGTAAATCTGCCTAGTTAAAATGACTGCTGGAACTAAACATTGTTTAAAAAAGTAGAAGAAACTAAACTTACCTCAATGAATTTCTGTACAGATGATTTTGTGGTGAGTGCATTTTCAATGACTTTTCCAGAAGCCTTATAGTTTTCTACAAATGACATGTAGCTCTCTAAGACTGTCTGCTTGGCAAACTGAAAATGGTGGAGTCCCTTACAATTACATGGACATCTAGTGCTTAAAAAGCACAATATTAAACCAGTAGGGTAACTGCCTGATTGGCAAACTCAAAATAATGGAGCTTACTTACAATTACATGGACATCTAGTGCTTAAAAAGCACAATATTAAATCAGTAGGGTAACTGCCTGATTGACAAACTCAAAATAGTTACTTACAATTACATGGACTTCAAGTACCAGTACTTAAAAAACAAAATATTAAACCAATGAGATGACTAGACAAATCAATATCTTTACTCTTTTATGTGAATGTTGCCACAGAACTAGTGTTTGGGTTGTGGACATTGCTTAAAATTAAAGACTATTAAATTTCAGAAAAACACCACACAGATCAATTTATTAACTATTTTATAGCCATTTTTCTCTAAGCAAGTAAATTACTCAGAAGCTTACAAAAATATAAAGAGAACTTATCCTTGTATACTAAATAGGGTTTTTAAATTAATGTATACATGTTGCATATAATAGGTCATATCAAACTACACAAAAGATTATGTTATACAGAAATGAGAAATCAAATCAGCATACTGAGTTCGATTTGTTGTAACTATTCTGTACGTATGTATCTATAGGTTGGTATAGAGAGAAATGAATGATCAAATCAGCATACTGAGGTAGACTTTGTAGGAGCTCTTCTATACTTTCTTCAGGTGGTTTGATAACACTAAGTCTAATATTGCTATAACAATGTCTTGTGTAACACTAATAACTTGCCAATTGCAATTTAATGTCCTGTTTTTTTTTTTAATTTAAACAGTTTCAGATTTAATATTCCTGTAATTGCTACTGATTAAATTGGTGATTTTGGTATTGGTGACAGATTGGAAGAAATCTTACTGCTATGCACATAGTGGTTAAATTAACTTGATGTTAAAGAAAATGTTACAAATGAAAGAACTGGAAGGTAGTCTCAGCTGTTAACTATAGATATTCATACTTTCTTTTTTGATAATAATCTAACTGAATTAGTTAGTTATACAACAGGTAATCAAGTGAAAACTCAATTTTAAAAAAATAGGAAAATTATTCTTCAATCAATGTTACTCTAATTAGTGTGATTAATCAAGGGAAAAAAGTATGCTTACAATTATACATCAAAGATAAACTAATTAACCTGATAATAACTAATTTGTATCAAACTATTTGACGCAGGGCCAATTCATGAAAGCTCAAAAACGCATTTTAAATTAAATCTTAACCACAAAAACCCATATGAAACAATGTATGTATTGTGATAAGAAAAACAAAGGATCGCTAGTAAACCTTTTTGCAAAAAGGGTGATGACATACTTTTGCATATTAAAAAGCAAAATGTTTCAACTGTATATAAGTTCATATTTAAGTTCATATTTTTAATTATACATCTAATTATGAGTCTTTTTAGAATAATCTAGTCCAAAAATCCTTTGCACTGTAACCAAGGTAACTACAATTGATAAACAGCACTTTTTTAAAAATTGGCAGAGCTAATCATTGCCTAATTTAGCTATGTCTAACTACTACTAGAATTTTCGCTGGTAACTTGTCCTGTTTATATATTTTAGATGGCACAATTTTCTTCAACAACCACAACAAAAAAGTCCTATGTCTTCACCACATAAATGGTTGTATGCTACATACAGTTTACAAATGAAAACAAAAGCAACTCACAATTGTTATGATGATATTCCCTACTGTGCTGCGTGATGTGTCCCAATGCTTCCACACATTGTCCAAAAAGTCCAAGTAAATGGAGTGATGAGTGAGGATCTCTGGGATCATGTAAAAAATATTGTCCACAATATTATCGTCCACACTGCTCTGTGTTTTAAGTGGAACCATATATTTCTGTGGACGGAAAAATTTGGATATTGAAAGTTATTTTCATTTAGCTACTTTTTGTCACTTGACTTGAGAAATCTGTTGTTTTTTTTTGTTTTTTGCTGCTTGTTAAATATTTTACTGTAAATATGCCTGTAAATATGTTGCAACCCGTTACAAAATAAAGTTTATTATTAATATTTTATCTAACAAATCATGGACAAGAATAAGAATATTCAGCTGCTTGCTAATAAAAAATAGCTGGAGCTACAAATGGATCAATGACCAAGTAACAACAAAAAAAAAAGCCAATTTTTTTTTCTGTGGTGTTAATTTTAGAATGATTCCAACAATAAAGAATGGTCAAGTGGTAGACCATATGACTGCGGGCTCAAAAACATCAATTTGATTCCTAAGTTTGACTAAGTTCACTGAGACCTTATGGGTACCTGAACAGGATTGGGAAAATAAATGAAACTGAGCATAGTGTTATCTATAAAACACATGTAAATATTGTGTCAGAAAAACAAGCTTTATCCATATAAGTTGACCTTCAGGTCTGAGATTATACTTTGACAATTATGAAACAGGTATTAAAATATTAAAATTGCACACTCTACCTAATGATACAATTCACTAATATGTTTTTTCTTTCATGAACTGACAAAAACTTTCTACCCTCTAATTTCAATATTTTTTTTAATCATACATGAAGAAAGCCAGACTGACTAAAATAAATTGAGTAACTCAGGAACATTAAACCACTCTTGGCTTATGCATGCCTATGCTACAACACTTCATCAAAACATTGACTTCCTGTTCTGGCAGTATCCGCACATAACTAAACCATCTGCTAGGGATCTATTCCTCACACTTTAGTACTAAAAAAAAAGTCAGTGAACTTTTAAACCTGTGGCTGGCTTCACATAATACGAGTTATAATCAATTACAGAATTCAAAATCTTGGGTTGCCTAGTGCTGGCACGTTTGTGTTTGAAGAAGAAAAAAAAAATAAGACAAATAAATAAAAGTATAAAGACACAGCCTAAACAGATGAGAGGGTGAAATAACAACAACACAGAGACCCATGGGAAGAGGTTCAGTCTGAGCTCTGCAGTACCTTCATGGCTAGACACTCTTCACTGCTGATGTAACTTAATACATAGACATATCAATTAAAAAGATTTAAAAAAAAAAAAAAGTTCCATAAAGCAAAGTAAATGTCTGATGTTTGCTTGGATCAACTAGAAAAAAATGGTTTAATTCAGTGCAAGTTACAGCAATTATTGAGAAGATATGCACGAGTTTATTTCACACAAAAGGGGTTTACAGTGTGTTCTCTATACCTGAGACAGCTCCAGGCACAAATGTGATATTTTAACTCCCCCCCCCCTCCTTCCATCTCTCTCTGCAGTTATAAGTTTAAAAAAAAACCTCTGCTGAGGAGGAAGGCATGAATGTGGAGTGTGAACCTGCTGCACATATACCCCTGTGTTATACCTCTGCACATATACCCCTGTGTTATACCTCTGCACATATACCCCCTGTGTTATACCTCTGCACATATACCCCTGTGTTATACCTCTGCACAGATACCCTGTGTTATACCTCTGCACATATACCCCTGTGTTATACCTCTGCACATATACCCCTGTGTTATACCTCTGCACATATACCCCTGTGTTATACCTCTGCACATATACCCCCTGTGTTATACCTCTGCACATATACCCCTGTGTTATACCTCTGCACATATACCCCCTGTGTTGCACCTCTGCGCATATACCCCTGTGTTATACCTCTGCACATATACCCCAGTGTTATACCTCTGCACATATACCCCCTGTGTTATACCTCTGCACATATACCCCAGTGTTATACCTCTGCACATATGCCCCTGTGTTATACCTCTGAACATATACCCCCTGTGTTATACATCTGCACATATACCCCCTGTGTTATACCTCTGCACATATACCCCTGTGTTATACCTCTGCACATATACCCCTGTGTTATACCTCTGCACATATACCCCTGTGTTATACCTCTGCACATATACCCCTGTGTTATACCTCTGCACATATACCCCCTGTGTTATACCTCTGCACATATACCCCTGTGTTATACCTCTGAACATATACCCCCTGTGTTATACCTCTGCACATATACCCCCTGTGTTATACCTCTGCACATATACCCCTGTGTTATACCTCTGCACATATACCCCAGTGTTATACCTCTGCACATATACCCCAGTGTTATACCTCTGCACATATACCCCTGTGTTATACCTCTGCACATATACCCCAGTGTTATACCTCTGCACATATACCCCAGTGTTATACCTCTGCACATATGCCCCCTGTGTTATACCTCTGCACAGATACCACCTGTGTTATACCTCTGCAGAAGTGTACACATATTTTAAAAAAAAAAACGTTTTAGTACAGTATTTGAACAGGATATGAGCCAGTATAAACAAATCCATAAAAAGAAACAGTCTGCACACTTGTTTTTAAGCTCATGTGTTATACCTCAGCACACATACCCCTGTGTTATACATCTGCACATATACCCCTGTGTTATACCTCTGCACATATACCCCTGTGTTATACCTCTGCACATATACCCTTGTGTTATACCTCTGCACATATACCCCTGTGTTATACCTCTGCACATATACCCCCTGTGTTATACCTCTGCACATATACCCCCTGTGTTATACCTCTGCACATATACCCCCTGTGTTATACCTCTGCACATATACCCTTGTGTTATACCTCTGCACATATACCCCCTGTGTTATACCTCTGCACATATACCCTTGTGTTATACCTCTGCACATATACCCCTGTGTTATACCTCTGCACATATACCCCTGTGTTATACCTCTGCACATATACCCCTGTGTTATACCTCTGCACATATACCCCTGTGTTATACCTCTGCACATATACCCCCTGTGTTATACATCTGCAGTAGTGTACACATATATTTTTTTTTTTAAACTTTTTAGTACAGTATTTGAACAGGATATGAGCCAGTATAAACAAATCCATGAAAAGAAACAGTCTGCACACTTGTTTTTAAGCTCATGTTTTCTTAAGTTACTTTGCTTGGTTAAAAATAATATTGCATGTGCCGTGTAGGATATTCCATCTTTAAAAAAAATTGATAGTTGAATATGAGTTTTAATTTAGTAAAGTGTGTACCAATTTATAAAAAGTAATTGAATTAAAAAAAACCTACTAGAAATTATTATACAAATAAATACACTGTTATAAGTTAACCTTACAATTCCAAAAAGGTTTAAAATGGTTACTGCAGGATTCTATCAAACAAATAAAACATCCAATTATAGTGGAGAGTAGTTAGGGCAGAGGAGAAAGAAATTAATATCAACAGTAAGTTCAACTATGATGATTGAGCAATAACAGGAAACGAAACCAGCCTTGTTGTAAAACAAATGATTCTCCTGCATAATAATCAAAACTTTTTTTTGTAAATTGCAACAATAAACATTGGATTCATTTGTCTTAGCTAATTTAATCATGATAAGAAAAAAGAAATGCAATAGGATTAAGTAACACTATAAAAAGATACTTTAAAGTCCTTATACTTACGTCTTTTAATGTCCGCAAAGCTTCAACATATTCTTTCTCATTCTTGTATAGTTCTTCAACAATGTGGTATCTTTTATCCTGTAAAACCAGAAACAATGTTTCAAAATGTGATTTTTAAATTCAGTATTACACAGCCCTTAGCTAGTTCTTCAACACTGTTGACAAAAAAAAGACTGGAAGAGTGCTGGACTAACAGAGTTGGGAAAACAAAATATAAAAGATGAGACAGGTTTGTGTTGATTACACTTTAAAAAAAAATACCAATTGTTAATGAGAGAAAGGTTTGAGATACTTTTCAACAGCTAAACGTTCCTGTTTATTTACAAAAACAATAATCAACATGCCACTTTGTCATAAGTATTGTTGAAATGAATACAAATAAAAACACTGCCCAATACATGTAAATGGGACTGCGTGGTTGGATGGTAGACTGCTAAAGATCTTGGGCTGGAGTCCATAGGACTTCGCTGAGTCCATGCAACTCTGATGGGTGGTGATGGGTACCTGACTCACGTTGAGGATATGAAAGTTGGCTGGGCATAGTACTGATCACACTATCCCTTGATATGTTGAGGGTGCAGAAACAGGTGAACTCTACTTCACCTGCACCATGGACTATAAGGTTGGAAAGTGTTCTTTACAAAACATGTATAAATATGCTTTAAAGCATAACAATAATGGGTAGATAAATGATCTTACCATCCATATTCAAAATGATTACTTTAGTAGGATGGATTTCGAAAATGTTCTTTGATTGAGAAACATAAATTAAAACACTTTCTGAATTGTCCATCCTTAATACAATGGCTGTTACCAGTTTATAATTTTTAAATGAGATCACTAATAAACTTATCTTGCATTCTGACATTTCAAATAGTAAAAAAAAAAAAGTATTTCAAATTAATAAGTGGATATATTTACTTTATAATGGACATGGTCTAATTAACACTATTTCCTTTATAGATCATACGACACAAAGATAATGCTCTTTTGTAATTTATTCACAGAAAGCAAAATACGATTTCCCAACACGTTTGCACTATAGTGGCAGTATGAATTACAAGATTTGCTCACTCCACATTGTTACTTAAACCCGTCATTATAATGATAAAAACACGAAATATCCTTAAGACTGATAGCAGTGCAAAGGTCACTACACTATCTACCCACACAAGAAATACAACCATATATCAGATTAATTAATCATAAAGCAAACAATTATAAACAGCAAGAAAACTTATAGACAGCACAGAACAGCACAACGTGCCACTGAATGGAGCCGCGATTGTACCTATATTGTCTCCCCTTCACGTCACAACAAACTTGGCACGACACCTTTGTTATGCTATCGGCTGGGTGTTATTTTTATCTATTTTACGTAATAGGTTTTTCCCCCGACAACCGTAACACACAGACATGCATCTTCTGCTCGTGTGAGCTACCAGCAGTTCCACAACACTGGCGCTCGCGACGTGGCTCGACCTTGAACTTTAACCCTAAGGTGAGCTTTAACTACATTTAAATCTGTGTTTTATTGGACGAGGATAGAACAAGGACGTGATTCAGCAGTGACCAATAGAAGGGGGTGACCTTTTGACTTTTCGAGTGCAAAGATGGCCACGTAAGTCAATGACACTAAGTCAATGACACTGAGTTACCTTAATTACGTTTGACTAATAGGTTAACTGACTCATCGAACTTTTGCAGTTATGCCTAGGATTGAGTCATACATCTTGTACAGTTATGCCTAGGATTGAGTCATGCAACTTGTACAGTTATGCATAGGATTGATTCATATCACTTTTACAGTTATGCCTAGGATTGAGTCATACAACTGGTACAGTTGTGATGCATAGCATTGAGTCATACAGCGTGTACAGTTATGCCTAGAATTGAGTCATACAACTTCTACGATGACCCGCAGGTGAGCCAAACGAAGAGTAACAGTCACATTTAACGTATACGATTACATGCAGATTGAGTCATCAAACGGATACAGTGACCTACAAATGAGTCATAAAACGGTGACCTACACCTAAGGCATAAAAAGGATACAGTGACCTACAACTGAGGCATAAAACGGTAACCTACAACTGAGGCATAAACGGTGACCTACAACTGAGGTATAAACGGTGAACTACAACTGAGGCATAAAAAGGATACAGTGACCTACAACTGAGGCATCAAACAGTGACCTACAACTGAGGCATCAAACAGTGACCTACAACTGAGGCATCAAACAGTGACCTACAACTGAGGCATCAAACGGTGACCTACAACTGAGGCATCAAACGGATACAGGGACTACAACTGGGGCATCAAACGGTGACCTACAACTGAGGCATAAAACAGATACAGGGACCTACAACTTAGGCATAAAACGGATAGTGGCTTACAATTAAGACAAAATATGCACACATGTTACAACTGCCGCCACACCACTATTGAGATGCTACAATTACCACCACAACACTATTCAAACACTACAAACACCACTCTATAGACGAGTTACTGTCACATGACCATTGAAATGCTGTATTTACCACCACACTAATATTCACAAGCTGCATTCACACCATTCATCAGCAGATACAATTACCACATCCCTCTCACTACAACAGCCACTAGCAGTTCCTATTCACGGGGTTGCCGCTAGGAGGTCGTCACCACTTTAATCAAAGGGATATGGGGTTCTGACTTTGTGACTACAAGTTACATTGGGGGAAAGGTGGTGGGTGTGTGTGTGGGGGGGGGGGGGGGGGGTATTGGCTACGACAAGTACCGTGATGTGGCATTTATTTTGAGCAATATTTTAAATAATAATTGTTAAAATTATTGTTTAGGGGGAGGGGTATAAATGTAAGAGGTCATTAAAAGGGGAAATGGGGGGGGGGGGGGGATTCGGCTTTAATGAACGACCCGAAATTTCCCTGTGGTATATTGATGGTGGAGAGGTGAGGTAGAGGGGTGGGGGAGTTACTGCAGTGTGTCCACTGACGTGGGGGTAACAACAGTGCTACATGGGGGGGGGGTGTACTATCGTACTGCTCCTACCGTGGCATCGTTCGATGATGTCAACTAGATGGAGCTGAAATGTGTCTAGAACACAACAGGTAAAGCTGTGCCAGGTAGACCCACAGCTGGGCAGACGAACCAGGTCACGGGTCTATGGAGTAGTGTACAGGGATGCCGTTTGAGTTTTGGTTTTTTTTAAAGATCAATTTAACCGAATGATGGGAAGTCGAACTGGACCTGAGATCAAGTCTCATTTAATGTCGCTTGGCACAGTTCTATAATTCCTTTCTCCTGGTAACTTTACTATGGGCTGGGATATTACCGGGGTGTTTTGTAGTAAAATTTTTTTGAAAAACGAATACACGCATTTGTTTTCATGAGATGCATCAAAAATGGTTTAATCTAAACATATGCATATCGGGTATGTTTCCCCGCATCAGACGTTTTGTAGGTTTGTTTGATACTAGATTTCGCTCTTGTGACTTTAGGCAGTGTTATACAAAATATGTGGATGGATTTTTTTGCTTTTAAACTTTTTAAAAAAATCTATTTTTAAAGGTGGAACCTTTGAAAATGGAACATTTTTTTTTTTGACAAACGAAGGAAGAGTCCAAAGAAGGTTTAAATAGCGGGACGTCATTTACGGAGGACCAATGTGGGTAACACAGCGAGAGAGAACCTACATAAAGTACTTTATCTTGAGATTTCTCATCTTTCTTTTAGACACATTCTACTCCATCAATCACGGGGTATATTAATGTGACGTAAGCTCGTTTAAAGACACGAATGACAGTCAAAAAAAAACTGATACAGATTATTAAGTCTCATCGTCGAATTTCAATTTCTAAAGAGGTTTGCAGAGTTATTTTGGTTTCTTGGATTTTGAAGAAAAATAAAAATAAAATTATCCCCGCTTTAAATAGCAAAATAGATTATTATTGTTATGAAGAACTAGACTCGTGTTTTATATTTATACCTAATATAAAACTAATGTCATCTTAGGTAGGATTAACAAAATACTAATGCCACAACGAAATAAAAACAAGTTTTCTGATGTGTAAGCTAGTCAGTTCACCAAAAACACTAACGCCAAAAGCTACGAAAGAATGTTTTGATTTCTTCTGTATGAAGAAAAAAAAAACCCCACTATCTCGCTGTATTCGGTGCACCAAATTACTGCCGCTGTACAGACCCACACGACTTCCTTAGAACACTATAACTGTTCCTCCACAAGGTAAATATCACGACCTTCTTCGCGTACACCCCCCCCCCCTGGCCGAGAATTCCCCCCCCCCCCCTCCACCTGGACGAGCCTCACACGGTAACACATCGCTCTTATCAAACCACTCGCCTCTCTGTGGCCGCAAACAACAAACAACAAAACAACTTTCGATTACCTCCACGACAGACGTCTTCCCCCCGAATATATCCCCGCGTCTTACCTTTACTCCCCTATCTACATAAGCTTTGTGCTAACGGGGTCGACGTCCGAGGCAAGGGAGATAACCGCTGAGCTCTATGGAGGCGAGATGGGGGAAATGTGTTGAGTTACAAAAGGGGCTGCCACCAAATTTAGACTTCAGAGACACAAATAATTCCAACTTTTTTTTGGAATCACATTGGGGAGGGGGTTCAATGTTATACAAAACATTCAAATTATACAAAAACAAAAGAGTATGCGCCCCCCCCCCCCTCCCTCTCCCTACAATGAATAAATACGACGAATGGTTAGTCCGAAAGGACCGGATTAGTTTTCACATCTAGCGGCTCCACAATGCAGAATCTATAATCGGTTCTTAGATCAATACATTACATTTCTTCTTTTTTAATAAGCATATACACCCGTTAGTAAGAAGGGTTGTAATACAACTTTTAGTTGACAATTTAATAAATCAGAACCACCAGATACAAATCTAAACATGATTTTTTTTTTAAATGTTGCACTCTTGGCGTAGCACGTTACTCCGGTTGGTGAATGAATTTTTTTCTTAATCGCACCCCCCCCCCCCACCACCACTACCACAACTCTGGTGAGCTCTTTCTTTAAACGTACCCTCATCATC